GGCCTCAGGCAGTCTCGGGCTATGTGCCCTAGCCGATTGCAGTTATAGCAGGGTCCAGTGCGCCTCTGCTCGGTCCTGGGGGGGTGGATGTGGTCCAGGTCCATGGGTTGGGGGCCGACTTTCGGGGCTGGGGCTGAGGGTGTGGATGCAGCGGGAGGGGGAACGGGCCCGGGAGGAGGTCGGGAGTGAAATGGGGATGGCTTGACAGCCAGGGGGCAGGCTTGAGCTTGGGTGGCTTGGAATCGTCGCCACTGATTGTCAAGGAGGGAGGCTTCACGCTTCCATTCTGCCCATGTCGTGGGCATGGGCCGGAGGTGATAGATGTTTTCGCGAAGGCATGGGTGAAGGGCGTGCTCAAATCGGTCCACAAGAGCAACATCTCCCATTCGTGACACTGGGCCATGCAGCTCAAACTGCTGGATCAGCTTGTCTACTGGCTCGTTCCCTTGTCGGAGTGAGGCAAGCTTTTGACAGGCTGTGGCTTGTTGGTTTGGGTCTGCAAACATAGAATCGAGTTCCGCCGCAAAGTCATCAAAGGAAATGGCTGGGGCTCCTGGGGCAAGGAGGGTGTTGATGCGTTGGGTGGCCCATGGTCTGGCAGTCCCTCCTTTCATGTATGACAGGACAAACAGGACTTGGCTGTGTTCGTCCGGGAACTCGGCATGGCGCATGCTCATGTAGAGTCCACACTCTGCCTTGAAGCGGTCTAGGTCATCTTGTGACCCAGAGAAGGGGGTAGGGGTGGCTACTTTGGGTGGCTTATGAGCCGGAGTGGGTGTAGGGGCTGGGGCTGGGGCCGTGGGTCTGGTCTGGGTGGCCAGTTGGGCTTGGAGATCTTGGAGCTGGCGGGTCAGCTCCGCTATCTGATCTTCCAGTGACATCGGGGGGGATAGAAGTAGGTTGAACCCTTCTTCTGCTGTCAGGGCTCGGTCCTCAATCAGGGACAGCCCGACCTCAGTCCTAGGTGTGTGCAGTGTTCCGGGTGGTTGGGCGCTAGACCCTGTCCTCAGCTCCTCAAACTCACTGAAGGGACTAAGCAGGGATTGAGTTGTCATGTATTACAGAGGGTAACTACAACTTGCCTAAGTGGGGATTGAGTTGAGAAGAAGGGTAAGTTTCCCTATTCCCCACTTGGCTACTATAAAAAGGAAGTGTACTGTACAGTTCATAACATGATTCCGGGTAGAAGCCGAGCATGTTCCCGCGACTCGGAAAAGGTGTCACATGGGTTAAGGCGAGTTGCTCGCCTTAACCCACGTGACTTTTCCCGCAGGCTCACATGCGGGTTGAAGTTGTGAGAGGTATGTAGGGATGGGGAGGTCTGGGAAGGTGGTTCTGGGGTGTGGTTGGGTGCCCTGACAGCGGGGTCAGGGGCCGATCCCTGACACCTTGCAAGGTAAACACTTTGCTAGACCGGCTGTCTGAGCTCTGCGTTGAGAGTCGCTGGAATGCCAATGTAATTTACTTTCCCTGTGGCGAAAATCTAATAAAATGCAGACGACTGTTGGAGGTCAAGCTCGAATACATCAAGTTTATACACTTAGCAGTCTACTTCCTCTCACTGGCCTGACCTTGTTTTTCAACAACAATTGCTGGTTTGATGCTTCCATATCGCACTGGAAGTCGGTATGGGCCATCAGAACTCCTTTCAAGCTCCACAAGTGAAGCGTCTGCCCTTTGTGTCCATTGGCTCAGGCTCAGCAAAAACCCAATAAAGGCAGCGAACAAAGTCTGATATTTCCCGAGTATCAATATCGATTTATGTCCAAGGCTTCCAGAAGAATTAAAATTCGGTAGTCTTGTTGGAATATGAGTCACATGATGAAACTGAACCGGAATATCCGGGAATATTCTAGGGGTTACTAGGCACCTGCGTAAGCGCTGGGCATAGAAGAGCCTGGAATATTGTTGAGAAGTATAAATATGGGCACTGGAGCGCCATGTGTATTTTAGTTATATTTCTTTCTATATTACATCTGGGTTGCGAGTGAACCGCTGAAGCGGGTTGCCATATTTGGAACGCCACGTTTACAACAGGTTATGAGCCCAGCCTGGGTCTAACCGGATTACTCTATTCACTTGACGTTGCCTCATCTGATCGCTACGCTTACATAATATGGTGGAAACCAAGGACACAACTCCGAACTATAACTCCCTGGTGGGACAAGTGCCGAAATTGACCAAGGATAATTACTATGATTGGAAATTCGGTGTCTCCCTTGTACTCCGGAGGGCTGGCTGTTGGGACATAATTCAGAAAGGGAAAAACAAAAGCGAAGACTGGAAAATCCCGAAGAATGCCCAAAACAAGGCCGACGAAGCTCTTACCATAATTGGGCTGACCGTGGATCCGTCGCAATACAAGTTGATTAGCCATTGCAAGAATGGTGTTGAGGCCTGGTACAAATTGGCAGGACACTATGAGAAGAACTCCAGGGCCAATAGAATTCGATTGACGCGGGCATTTTATAACTTCAAACACGATCCTGAAAAGCCGATTGACGATTATATTAATGGGCTCGAATCGATCTGGAACCAGATGCGCAGAATCGGAATGAATGTCGATGATTCGGATCTGGCCGATGCATTGATCATGTGCTTGAACCCGAAGTTCAATGCCATTTCGGCTTCTTTGACTTCCCACGAGACCGAGCCATCTTCGGAAGCAGTGATGGGTATTCTCAGGGATGAGGAGGCAAGGATGGGGACATATGGAGAAGAGGGTGCCCCCCCAGGGGCATTTATTGCAGGGGGAAAACAGGCTAGAGCAGAGTGTCACGGCCGTGCATTCCGGCCCGTTAGCCGCCCATCCCGATGCCGCCCGAGCCTGTTACCGCTATGCGAGCGTGAGCGCAAGCCCCGACCTCAGCCCTATCCTTCATGAGGACTCCCTGCTCACTCCCCCGCTTGCCCCTAGGCTCCCCTGCACCTGGCCAACTCCCCCACAGCCCCACCAACCTTCCCACCCTGAGTCCGCCTCCGGCACCGTGCCCAGCGCGACTCCTCTACCCCGCCCACTTGGCCCCTACAGGGCCACTATCATCCCCGCACCCGACTCCGGCCCAACTCCGAGTCCAGCGCCGCTACGATACCATCGCCGCTATCGCGGCCCTACGCTCTTTCCTCTATTTATCTGTTATTGTTTGTTTTGACCCTCGGTCATTGCCAGCCGCTATGCAGCCAACCCCGCTCCTTCTTCTTGTTTGCTTCCGGACCCTTCGGCCTCCGGCCCGGGTCCGCTTCCATTCATTTCTTCCTCCTATATATATCCTGTATGATACTTTATTGTACCTTAGCTCTAATATCGACTTGACCACGACCCCAAGCCCTGACCCCAACAAGGCAGCCCCAGTAAGTTCGAAATGAGGGCCAAGAGACAACTAGGGGGCACAGCACTCCCTTTAGAGTTGCTGAGGCCAAATGCCCTACCCTCGGGCCTTGTCTGAGGCATCGCGGCCATTGCGGCCCTTAGCGGTCCGCATCGGCGACCTTCGGTGCCCGACCCCGGATCAGTATCTAACACAGAGCCGGTTTGTTGGAATTGCCAAAAGAAGGGGCATTACTGGCGTAATTGCCGAGAGAATAAGGAAACCCAAAATAGAAACGAGGCCATCTCGATGATGAATTACTCTTACTAAATTGGGAACGGAAGGATCCGAACGCTGTCAGGACTGTATAGGATGGGAAAATATCGGAGGATGAGAACGTGATCGATTCCGGGTGCTTCGAATTTGTCATACAGGGCAGGTTTTTGGATCAAGGACAGAGGGAAAATTAGAAATTTGCTGTACAGGGCTGGATTTCTGGATCAAGAAAAATTGTCGGAAGGGGTATGTGACTCAAGGGGGAATGTTGGAATACGAGTCACATGATGAAACTGAACTGGAATATCCGGGAATATTCTAGGGGTTACTAGGCACCTGCGTAAGCGCTGGGCATAGAAGAGCCTGGAATATTGTTGAGAAGTATAAATATGGGCGCTGGAGCGCCGTGTGTATTTTAGTTATATTTCTTTCTATATTACATCTGGGTTGCGAGTGAACTGCTGAAGCGGGTTGCCATATTTGGAACGCCGCGTTTACAACAAGTCTGGTCACAACGCATGAATCAGCTCGGCACACTGACCATAGGCAACGTACTCTACGTGCTCTTGGCCTGGGAGCTAGTACGAGTTATCAGCTCGTTCAAATTTCTCTTGGCTGCATGCTACCATGTAGGTGTTTGTGGTAATCTCAAGGGGACACACACACACACCTTAGAGTAGCGAACATTATGTTGTCCACCTGCCGGAGACATTTGTTGGTTTTTCTTCGGATTCCAACCAGTTAAGCCGAATATATATCTGGACTAATGATCTACTATGATTTAAGCATACGGAGGCTTCTTCTGGCAGTGGCCAAGAACCAAACACTGCAACACGTATATAAGCTTGATACAGAAGAATGCCATACTCAGAACATGCTCACATCAGGCTTTCTGGGTTTCACTCTTTCGAACCTTCAGTCAGTTTGCAAGCCCATATTCACGCTCATCAGCTGTAGTACTTAATGTTTGACCGAATGGTGTTGGAAATCATTGTGGTTAACGACGATCTATTTACCTTATTAGTTTGTCTGACGCGGTGTTGATGGGATCACCGCTGATACCCTTTTCTGCCTACTCTTTCTGTTCTATGCATTAACCCTTGCCAACAACCATGTGTCGCGATTGCAAGCGATATTAGTACTCGTTGTATAAATGGCGCAGGGCGCTAGGTTTTTTCCCTTTCCCTCAGTTCTCAAGTTAGAGACTGAGGTGATATCCCTTTCGTTGTTTTTAACTTTCGTATAACTGACTGTACTCTCCATGTTATAGTCCGTGCGTACAGGTAAAGAGTTACAATGTTATTAGTTCTCAAGTTAGAGACTGAGTCCGTGCGTACAGCTCTATTAATCATTTCAAATGGCGCGTTCACTCAAGTAACGTGTCTTCGGTCTGGCAAGGCCAATGCATTTGCACGACGAAACTTTTATGATACCTGAGTCCGTTTTCTCGTATTCCCACAACGGGATACAAAATTAAAAACAGCTGAACCAACTCGTACTGCCGCGCGCGATCAACGCAACGCGGGGAAATTTTCCATTGCTTGGCGAGAGAGAGCTAAGCGGTCGCGCACACGCATTGGCTGAAGCTATTGGAGGCCGACGAAGGACACTCCACTTGAGCATAATCGACCACGGGGTTATCTATTGGAATTTGTGTAGGGGATGCAATGAGAAAATCGTTCAGCAGAATAATAAGAACTTACCCCAACCAAAACCGTCCTTAGACATGATATCAAAATGAGCAGAGTATCCATAATCATTCATGCTGCCAGTGCTAGGACACCATTGTCCATTCCCAGTGCTAGGGCACAAATTGGTGACCATCACAATGATGCTCTGACCTGCGCCCCCTCCAGTTCCGCAAGTGCTGCAAGGAGCCTCCCCGCTGCTTGTGAGCTACGCATGATGCCCTTTCAGTATCCAGATGGATCCTGATCTATCCCTACCACATCACCTTGAAGCACAATCCACATCCTCCTCCACACCAAGTCGCCCCTGCCGCATCAAAAATTCCTTGCGATGCGCTATCTCGCGAAACTTAGGCAGCTCTGTGAACCGAGCGGAGAACCAAGACTTACGCAGCAGTATAAACTCCACTTGAGATTCCCTTTTGCCAAGTGAAAGGGCCGCTGTTATTGCCGCATCCGCAAGCACCTGTTTGGACCGCTCATTCGCACAGCTGAGATAACTGGACAGGTTCAGAATCTCACAGACCTTCGGAACCATCATAATAGCGCTGTAAGAAATAAAGGATGGATATCGTCCGTCAGAACATCATTTTTGTACAGTCTCCACACATGGACCAACCGTCGTCGTGGCTTGAGCCGCAAACACAGAGGAGATAGAAGCGAGCACGAGGAAGATGCTTTTGAAAACCATTGGTGTCTTTTTCGATGCCTGATACCCCAATCTGCCCTCTCCCTTTTATAACCTCTCACTTCGACAGGGGTGTGTGCAAGGATTTCTGCACACAGACAACAAACCACCTTGGACCAGCGCAAAAACGTTTAGGTTACATTGAGAGGTCCGCAGCAATGACCCCTGGCGTCTGTGTTCGCCTAGGGATTGCAAAGGCTGCGCTCAGGCTGCGTAAATGACCATGACAACCATCAAGCGGGCTGGTGACCGCAGCTGACGTTGACAGCCTGGAGACCACTTCCTTCAAGACGCAGGCTTGCCAACTAATCTAACGGCGTTGTGGACGAGAGCTCGCTCAAATGGAGTTAAGCGCAGGTGCCTCAGGCACTGAGATTCGAGAGATCGACTTTAATCCCCGGATGAAAAGGCTGTATTGCATGATTATCTAGCGTTCGAAAGGTACAGAAGATTGCATTTCAGTGGAAAATTACCGGAAATGCGTAGGCGTAGTATATTTGCGTAGTAAAATCAAAGTAGTTAATCACTCGCTCCGAGAATATACAAAAGCAAGTTTGAGTGTCGCAAGGGGTAGAGCCTGGGATTGGATACTGGCGATAGTAGAATGCAATCTTATTCACCCGCATTCCGCGTGGGATACCATAGGCACACTCTTCAAGGAAGCTAGAAGTAAGTCATACGTAAAGGCCCACATTCGATTCGAGGGAAAACGTTGTGAGATGATTGGAACTGAGAATGTATCCATGTGAGGAAATAGTAACACATGATGGACAACTCGTTGCCAATCACAGCGTGGTTCGAAACTGGGTACTAGATATAGTACAGTACTCAGCGGAGGTTGCTCCACCGGCGCACCGGGTATCGCGGGCCCACAACCTTGGTGCCACGTCGTGTTCCCGGGTTAGGGACAAGAATGAGTGGAATAAACCAATCTCTGGCAACATGAGCATTGATGACAGAAGCGTGTTGTTGATTAGATGTCGAAGAATTTAATCCCAACCCCAAAGGAGACCGGGTTAATTATATTCTTGTCGTGAGCATAGACGGCATACGGACCGTGGGGACTCTCAGTCTCCCCATCCTTTCTAAGGACACCGAACTTATGGACACGTTACCAGACATAAACAATGCCAACTTGAAGTGTATACAAATACAGCTCTTTCGCGCAGACCGGACCATCAGCTCTGTTATGGGGCATCTCGGACTAGCAACCGATAGCACGTCCGCAAGAAGGGCCCGGCCCGTAGTACGCCAAAGGGACACCCGAGATCAATGCCCATGCCAACAAAGCAGGGCCCCAGTGATGGCTCGGGTGGAACATATTTCCATGACCAGGTGGGGCGTATGGAACGTTTCCCGATTGTTCCATATATGAACGAATCGAATGAGATTCAAAACGCTGGGCCACTTCGCCCAGGCAGGTGTGGTCTCCATGTATGCGAGAAACAAATAAGCATGCCGATGAGAAGAGGGTGAGGTTCCAGATGCAAAAAGCTTGCCGCTGTGTAGGTTAACCCCGTCGGGATAATTTGTGCCCATACCGTTACTAGAAAATTCGAGGCGGTGATATGACGTGTCCTTCACGAACGTCGGATGGGTTAGAGCCTCAAGCAAACAGATGTGGGACAACTCCAAAGGACGGTGCACAGCGCCCATCCACGTACTGGGCCAAGGCATCTTATCACCGAAACTTGACCCTAATCGCGAGTCCCAGTGTAAAGCGCTAAATAAATGCCACCACACAAGAAGCTCGCTGATAGGGTGTGAGAATCAGCCGCGTGTCCAACGAACGAAAATCATCCCTCCCACGTCAGGGACGGGCAGCGCAGTGGGAGCGTAACAGCTTTACGAGATTATACCTTCCTTGGGCTATACCTATGCTCCGATGGGACTTTATCATTTGTGGACGGAGAACAATGTTTTCCGCCATCAGATACCTACCTCGGTATTCAAACGTAAGTCCTGGCAGGGTTTTTGGGTTCAACGACAACGTTGGACGATCTCGGTGACCTGTGCGAATGCAAGCGTGCGTGGTGGTGGATTTGCCGAGGAACGAAGACTATTTTCTCTCGCTCGCCTTGAAATCACTTGAAACTATGCAGTGACGGGTGGAGGACGTTCGTATGTGGTCATTGTCTGGGGGGCCGACAGTAAACGTCACTTCGTTCAGTGTTCCTGGTCCACTCCTGTTTTCTGGAGGGAGAGAGACAACGAACCTAGGTCGTCCCTCACTGCGATCAAGGCGTAGGAGAGCCTCGTCTCATAGGTCTCGAGAAAATAAAATGCGTTGAAAATTATCCCGATCACCACCCGAGTCTACTCCCTTGCCAATGCCGCAACAGATCATGGCAGTGCTTCGCCAATGGGAAAGATGAGTTGAAGGTGTGCAAATGCTCTGAGTCAATCGCGTTCGTGCTTACCTGACCGTTTTCCAAAAATGAAACTTGGAACTGGATGACCTTCTTATGGCAATGAGTGTGGTCGATCCACAGAAAGCACGGCTTGCGAGAAAGAGGTATGATAGCGGTCATTCAGAGTACGATAGGAGCGACGAAGGCGCTCTGCCATCTAGGTCGAGCTAAGGTGCATAAGAGCGGCGGCAAAGGTGCGCCCAAAACTGTCTGTACCGGAGCCTTGGGACGGATGATAAAGCTGATTCAGACTTTGATATATAGATCGGCGGTTATGCTAGTTTAGGTTTAGTTTGCTGAAGTAGTATCTTCTATCACTATTCTTCGAATAATATGACCATCCGATCGGAAATTTTTGTACGCCGGCACCCAAAATTATGGGCAAAACTAGGGCAAATCCTCATGTCCAACATTCCACGCGCGGAAGGAATACTCAAATGCATATCGTGACCCTGTTACTAATAATGCGGCGGTGCCCAAGTGATCAGCGCGTGCGCGCGCGCGGGGTCCATATCAAGAGCAGTGCTTACGATGAACCACCGCTGTTTTTTGTTTTTGTTTTTATTTTTTTTTGGGAAGTGTCGAGCCCATGACTTTACCCAATAAATCAAAGCCAGGTACTATATATGAATTGTTGCGAGAAATGTGAAGAAGCCCCACAACCAGTTTGCGGCGTGCGACGAATTGGATGTAAACGTCTAACGCCCGGCCGCAGGCGCCAGCTGACGAAATATGTTGAGCAACGTAAGCTATGATCGATTCCTGTTGGAGCTTGTGTCGACGATATATCGCGTGCCCACCAATAGGACAGTCTCATCTACCTGATGGCTACCCATCAGAATCGACCTGTAAGCTTGACACAGCAGAACGGCATACCCAGAAGATGCTCACATGCGCTTCCTGGTTTTTGTCAAGCATCCGTCCTTCAGGGGTCAATTCGTCAGATCTGCCATGTACGAGCTTGGATATTCACGAGCGCTCATCAACCCGAGTAGTTAATTTTGACCCAAATGATACGTTTCGCTCAAGTGATGCTTTCCGGTCTGGCAGGTGTCAAAAGGGGGCCATCCGCACGGAAAAACACTGGAAAAACCTGAATGACACAGTTTGATTCAAATTCCGTTTTTGTTTTTGTTTTTTTTCCTTTGGGCCATTCCCACACGGTCAAGGGCCTCCGCGATCAACAACGGCAGTGGAAGATTTTTCGCTGCTCAGTGAAGCCGCGCGAACGCTAGCCGCTCGCCCAACGTACACGCGTTCTTTGTAATGATGGGACAAGCCAATGAGGGACCAGGCCATTTGAACATAATGCACCAACGGGGTTATCTGTCGGATCCGGAATTCGTGTAAGGAATGCAATGAAAATCATGCTTTCCAATCCCAACAAAAAAATTAAAAAAAAAAAAAAAAAAAAAAAAAATAAGAACATACCCCAGCCGAAACCATCGTTAGACGTGATGTCAAAATGAGCCCAGCCTCGGGACACCATTCTCCAATCCCATCGTTAGGACATAGATTGGGAACCATCACAATGATACTCTGACCTGCGCCCCCTCCCCTACGCAAGTGTTGCAAGGAGACTTCCCCCGTGCTTGCGAGCTACTCGGAGCATCCGTTTAGAATCCAAATGAACACTGGTCCATTCCTGCCTCACCTTGAAGCACAATCTACATCCCGTTCCACACCATCTGGCCCCTGCTGCGTCAAAAATTCCTTGAGATGGGCTTTCCCATCAAAGTTGAGCAGCTCCATGGCCCCCAACTCGAAAAACTAGACCCACGCGGCGGTGTGGACTCCAGTTGAGATTCCATTTTTGCGAAGCGAAAGGGCCGCATCCACAAGCACCCATTTGGGATGCTCATTCGTATAGATAGCTTGCACAAGTTCAGAATCCCACTGACCCCCCCACCGAACCATCACAATAGCACTGTTAAGATACAAACGGTGTGATGTGGTCCGTCAGAACATCATTTGTATAGTTCCAAACACGTGGACGAACCGTCGTTGGGGCCGCAAACACAGAAGGAAGCAAGAAGCTCTTCAGGGGTATCAGAGTCTTTTTCGATGCCAGATTATCCCAGTCTGTCCTCCCACTCTTATGAACTTTCGCCTCCACAGCGCGGAACAGCAAACCACCTAGGATTTGTGTAGTACCACACAGCAACATCGATGCGTTTAAGACCATGACAACCATCAAGAAGGTCAGTGATTGCGGCTGACGTTGACAGCATGAAGCTCGTCTCCCTCGAGACACAGGTCAGCACAGGCGCCTCGGGCATGGAAATCCAAAGGAGCGCGGCCTTCGTCTCTGAATGTGGAGGCCTTATTAACGACTATCCAGCATTTGGGGGGAGGAGGGTTTCATTCTGCAGGAAACGAGTGGTTGTAGCACATACACGTACAAAAAATCAAAGTGGTCAATCGCTCCCCTCCAAAAATAACCCAAAGCAAGGATAGGGTCTGGGTTTAGTTACTGTGGGTTTTTTGTTTTAGCTAGCGGCGACGGCGGAACGCACCCGCAATGTGCGTGGGATACGATAGACCACGGCAGGCTTCAAAGAAGCAAGTCGTATTAGTAGGACACATGAGGGGAGCACGCGGGGGAGAAGATAGACGGAACCGAAGCTAGAGGTATCCATGTGAGGACATAGTGAAACAAGGACGATTCATTGCCAAACGTAACGTCGGTGTAGCCGTGGCTAAAGCTGAGTTCTCTCGGCCAAGGTTGCTTCACCGTTGCACAGAGTGCCACAAGGGCAATTTCCTTGGTGAGTTGCGCTCTTTGGTTACGGACGAATTAAAAAAGAATACATAAAAATGAAAGGGAGATTTGTTATGAAATTCCTTCGTACAGTTGATCCTCAGATACTTGAACTTGGAAGATGGAAGCTAATGCGATTGCGCTTCAATTAACGCTCTGTCAGGGTCGGCTGTCCGCGCCTGCGCTTGGGAGTCGCGGAATGTTGAAGAAAATGCCGATTGAATTGACTTGATAACCATTTGCGGTTGCAAATCCAAACGAAAACGCAGATGGCCGGCGCGATTTTTGCGCCTGGTTGGTTGTACAAAACCGATGCCTGTCTGCCACGCCACGTCAGTCCATGCAGCTCCTCCCTCAACATGGAAGTCGGGACTGGTTGTTCGGTTCACATAACTTACATAATCCGCTAAATGACACCCTGAATGGAAATGGTGAATCTGGGGGGGGGTTTGTGTTTCTGGTCCGTCGCCGCTTGGAATTTCTAGACCTCATCAGATCAAATCTACCCACGTTCTTTGGGGTGGGCCCTTGCGCGACGTCAACGTGTTGGCTCAGATCGAGATCTTTGGGCGGCCAAAATGACCGCACTATATCCTAAAAACGCAGGTTGCAAGTCATTTTGGAAGCACTGGCGCCATCTTTCAGTCACCAGCAGGGGTTTGAATCCGAGTCACAGCCCCCCAGATAGATCGTACAAGTAATCTGGATAATTGGTCTCAAACGGAAAGGCGGATCTGGTCCTGAAAGCGTAATTGCTGAGAGGCGCGATTCTCCGAGGACTTGGTAACGCTTCCTACTTTTGCCCCCCCGAGCGCTCAATTTATCGGAAGCCGCTGCAAAAGGCTGTGTGTTCCCGTTCTGGTTTTGGTTTCCTGTTCAGCTATGGGGCAATCGCTGCTCATCATCGCGCCCAAGTACCTGTGAATCACTCGGCGTGTGCAAAGTTTGCCGTCTTTTGGCAGGATCGAAAATCACACGACGTGTGATAGATATTTCAGTCATCTCCTAAAGTCCCTTTTGGATTCCCCAACTTTGCTGTTAGAGCCAAGTTAGTCTATCGGGATGTCGTATAAAAGGATTATACCCGAAAGTCCTCGTGTCCCTCTACACCTTTTCCCCTCCTCCTTGTATCTGCTGCTTTGTATCCTTTCATGTTCTCGTATAACCAGAGTTCTACTCCTTCCGGAAGGCAGGTACGACGGACCTGCACTACCTGAAACCGACTCGCAACTTACAACTTCACTGTATGCCTGACGGAACGCCAGTGGATCGCCCTTTCGACTCAATCCGTTGGTATTGGGCAAGGCGGCACTGTCTCCATGATAGCGTAAGTCGTGGAAAAGACGTACAAGATTGGATACCAAGTACACTCATACACACCTGACAGTCGCGTTTCCTTGGTCGAGTACGTCAAAGCAACCCCTCCCCCTTGGACGCCGCTGTTGACATCTTGGTGTATTAGCTACCGGGGAAGAGCGATCATTGATACATACATCCGGCCCACCGCTCCTGTGGCGTCGTATCGGACTCCACAGACAGGGATTGAGCCTCATCACCTAGGCAAGTCTAGGTCGCATGCACTAGTTGCGTTGTGAGAGATGGCATGCCACACTCTAACTATGTTCCTTCCGCGCGGCTTTTTTTTAGAGAATGGAATCCCTTTCAATCAAGCGCGCGACTTTGTCGCTTCAGCCATCGGTGGGAAAATACTCGTTGGCCATTCACTGTGGCAGGATCTTCATGTGAGTCATCGCGCTCCTCTACTTCTTAAACTGCTTTTCCGCTGATCCGAACATTCGTCCCTGTGCACGCTAGGTCCTGGGCCTGACTCACCCGGCGATTGGTGCGCCAAATTCTACATCTGACGCATTGAATAGGACTGAATTTTGAGGGATAAGATACTCGAGACTTGGGTCTCTTCCTCCCTTTCCGAGTGACACTCAGGAATCTGAACAACATAATTGGCCTTCAAACACTAATGCACCAATTGATGAGAAGACAGATTACTGTTTCTGTCCAAGACAGTGTAGGTTACCCCTTGTGTCAAGAACCATGATTGTTCCTGACCGTTTAGGTTCAACGCCAGTTAGAGAGTGCTCGGGCCATTATGGACCTTTTCAGGTGCGAAACTATATCCAATCTTCCAGTTTCTTCGCCCTTACAGATCTGAGCAGGTCTGTACAAGACGAATGGGAATTATGTGTGGATGGGAACGAGTGGCCGTGTGCGCTTCCTCCTGCACAATTCTCCCGCTGCTATTCCTGATTGAGCTCTCTTGCCTTTGAACCCCTCGGAGCCCTCTCGGCATTTTCCAAGGGATTAGGAGTATGCCTTGTCCCTGGATCAGCGGTCAGCGGCCATACTGTACAACTGCGCACGTTTCATTGCATCGTGCTATCGTAAATTAGATCTCAAACGACGTTCTGGGCGTAATGTACATACCGATCACCCGCGCAAATAAAGCGTCTATGCCCCAATGGTATATGCAGCGGATAAGAAGCTCCACTACCAAAAGCAAATTCACGAATATGGCATGGGGTTGCTGGGAACATGTACACGTGTCAAGGAAAGGGCAATAAGAAGTGATTTCAAAGCCATTTGGGTTCAATCGTTCCACCAACTTGATTCCGAACCGAATTAAACTGTATGTAGGCCGTTTTCCTTTGCAGCACAACCACAGTGCGAGCCATCGTAAACGCGTGAGTGTGCTACCACGTCTATGCCGACACCCCACGCGTACGTGTACGCGTATAACCGACCCAGGAGCGGGGTTGGATTCGGTTGACCGAACCCCTTCAATGGGCCCGCGGCCCAAGGAAGAGGTACGCTAAACCAGTGCCACGCGGAGTGTTCCGGGTGCAGGGTAGATTATAAATAATAATAGTTCCGCATCCAGATGACCGAGAGATAAGCCATTCAGTTCATCAAGAAGAAATTGTGCCTTGCTCAAGAAATGCACCAGTCAGGTCCTGCAAATGCATGAAGTGATGCAGGAAGTGATGCTTGAAGGACCGATCAGAAGTCGATGGCGCGGCTTATTTCCTGATTAGGTAATAGCTTGAACCACTAAATTTGTTTCCGCTATTGCAAACTCGGTCATCTAAAGCATTCTGAAAGCTACCTGTGACATATTAGCTTCAAGCCAACGTTTTCTCGCCCTATAAACCTGGCGGGCCTCACGCGCGTCTCTGCCTTGACGCTCCCTCCCAGATCATTGGGCACGATTGCCTCTCCTGCACACAGGCTTTCACAAGTGGGTTACTGTTTCCACATTCAAACATGTGTTTCCGTAACTTGTCATTTTCGTGCTGACAAATATGACACCATCACTTGACGCGGGATCACCCCCCCACAGATCGCTCGATTGTTCGCAACGATGCCCCCTGTCCACAGTCCCACCCTGGAAAGGTACGATATCGTCTTCATCGGCGGTGGTAGCGGAGGTACGGCTGCTTCGGTGAGCTGGCTTACTGTTGTTCCCACGGTCGCGATCTCCTTCCAACTGACGCGCGTGGACCGATAGCGTCGTGCCGCTAAATATGGAAAGAAAGCTGCCCTTATTGAACACACGCACCGTTTGGGAGGGACATGTGTCAACGTCGGTTGTGTGCCTAAGAAAGTGAGTATCCGCTCCTTTGCCCTCCTCCCTCGCCGCGTTTGCGCGTTTTGACCTTTTTTGTATGCTAGCTTATGTGGCATGCAGCTGACCTGAGGGATCGTCTAAAAGCCTCTGGGTACTATGGATATGGAAAGAAGCAGGGTGAAGAGCTTCCTCCTTTCAACTGGAACGAGTTCAAGCACAAGCGCGATGACTACGTCAAGTTCCTCAATGGCGTATATGATCGTAATCTGGTGAGGGAACACGTGGAGAGCCACCAAGGATGGGCGCGTATCAAGGATGCGAACACCGTTGAAGTGACCAGGGATGACGGATCTACTTACAACCTCAAGACTGACAAGATCGTGGTCGCAGTTGGGGGTCGTCCAACGGTTCCCTCAGACGATGAGATCCCCGGCGCTTCGTTCGGGATCGATTCAGATGGCTTCTTCGAACTCGAAGAACAACCAAAGCGCGTTATCGTCGTCGGCGCGGGGTACATCGCGGTTGAACTCGCAGGCATCTTTCACGCTCTCGGATCCGAAACTCACATCGTCATTCGCCATGAAAACGTTCTTCGTAAATTCGATCCTGACATTCAGACGGTTCTCACTGGCTGGATGGAGCACACTGGTCTGCACGTTCACAAGAATTCTGATGTTCAAAAGGTCGAAGGCGAGAAGAAAGGGGGTCCCGTTACGGTTTATACTAAGCAAGGAGAAAAGATCGAGGCTGACGTTCTCATCTGGGCTGTTGGTCGACATGCTAACACCGAGGATATCGGGCTCGACAAGGTGAACATCAAGACGAAGGAGGATGGCGATATACTGGTCGACGAATACCAAACGACGTCTGTTCCGAACATTTACGCTATTGGGGATGTGTCCGGTCAGGCTCTACTTACTCCCGTGGCCATTGCCGCCGGACGCAGACTTTGCAATCGACTCTACGGTCCCGAGAAGTTTAAAGATCAGAAACTTAGCTATGAGAACATCCCCACAGTCGTCTTCTCGTTAGTGACTTCTCCCTATAATCGCTACGTCGACTTGTCATTGATCTTATCTCTTTCTCTTTCGAACCAGTCACCCCCCTGTCGGTACAGTCGGTCTCACAGAGCCGGAAGCTCGTGCGAAATACGGCGATGATGCCGTGAAGATCTGTAAGTTTTCACCGAGGAACTCCAGGCTTGCTTGCTCACTTGATTCCTTTTCAATACGATTAGACAAGAGCCGGTTCCGTGCTATGTACTTCTTTGCATTACCGGAAGATCACAAGGAGCCGTCGTTCTATAAGCTTGTGTGTGTTGGCCCTGAGGAGAAGGTCGTCGGATTGCATATCATCGGTCTGGGAAGCGACGAAATCACTCAAGGGTTCGGCGTTGCCATTAAAATGGGTGGTATGTACCATAATTATGGATATATATAGAGTACATCCTCATCATAGCTTTGCGACAGCTACGAAAGCTGATTTCGATGATACGGTTGCTATTCACCCTACGTCTGCAGAAGGTACGCGGTGTCTATATATTCGCATCTTCCTCTTCTTCACTAATATTTGACTGATGTGTTTTGCAGAATTGGTCACTTTAGTTTAGAGCAGCTACTTGCAGCTTGAGCATCATAAATTTCTAATCCCACCTGTATGAGTAGACACCGATGTATTTTTCGTGGAAGCGCCATCTTCCGGTTATGGAATGACACTTATGACTCATTTATCAAGGCGAAGAACTAGAACCTGGAAGAGCGAATGAAAGCAGGACGATAGACATGCCCGGAGCGTCCATACGTGCCATTTTACGATAACTTTAGGAAGGAGAAACATCTTGGAGCTTTCTCCCAACCGGGGTGCTGATGATGCGGTCAACTCACCAACTTGCAGGGTCCGCTACTCCCTAGCGGGAATTGTTGGTCTCAGGCAATCCCCAAAAAGGATCCTGGTTAGAGGGGACCCTTTGCACGACGGAATTTAGTTGGAGGTTCAAAGATTAATATTTGCAGGACCAGCTCTACAACAATGCTATGTAAAGATAAAGAACGGGGAGGGGGGTATCGGACGCGATGCAGCGAAAACGTAGAAGTGGCGCTCGTTTTCCCGTGCTTTGCGAACGCATGAACTACTCTATCTGTACGAAAGAGGACACCTAGTCCCTCGACGTTGATAACCTATTCCAGTCTCAAATAATGGAAATGGAATAAATCCGGAGCAAAGCTAACCATGACTAGATGGAAATCCCATCTAGAGAGAGGGAGAGAGAGAGAGATGGTTCACGCACCACAATTTGTGACCCAGAAAATGAGCCGATGGATCTGCCGTGAGATAGATCATCTCTCCCACTGACATGTTTGACTTGCCTGTGGGCAAGCGTCCCAAGTGAGCGTTGGCGTGCAATGTAGATAGAGGTACGAATCCCCGAAGCGCCGTGATCCCAAATTGCCGCCTCGTATTCCCTTTCATGAGTGAAAACTGGGCCACTAGAGTGAGGGGTGTCATTGGGTAAAGCTGCGTTTTGATGTTTAAATTAATGGAATTCGATGATGATGAGAGTGCTCCTGGATCGACGTACTTTGCTCTGAACTTCCCAAATATGCGAGGCTCGAGCCCTTCGTCGAGTTAACATTCAATGGGACGAGACCTGCCAAATAAAGATAGGAACTCAGAGCAATCTGGAGAATTGCACTTGGAAAACCAACCCAATGGTACACAGAGAAGAAGAAACGACAGCGCACCCTATCCCTAAAGCTCACGCTCCGAGTGATGCCCATACATAACGTGGCCCTGAACAAATCGGCACTCGACTTCTCGACTTCTCGACTACTACCTTATACCTATCGATCAATCCCCAAAGAGACGGGCAAGGTGTCAACTCGGATGCGACACAACTGAAGAAAACGAAACACCCACCGACCCGTAAGTAGTGGTAAGCGCGAGGTAACCATGGGTGTAGCTCCGTCCTTCGCGGCGATTGCTTTGGTTAAATCTGCCGATCCGAAGCTTTGTGTCGTTGCCCTCAGGCTGTACCCTTTCGGCAGCTGGGGATCAAACATCGTTATAGTCATACCATATGTCTTCGTGTCAGTGAAGACTTACTCTCAGTCAGTCCGTGAAGGCCCCAGTATCCTTCCTCCAAACTGGCGGTAAAAGGAGCCAAGCCCCTTGCGTTTGTATCTCCATGCACAAGGTCCCGAAGCTGAGGCACAAAACGGCCGTAACTCCTGCCTTTGGACAGAAGGGAAGGCGAAGACGGAGGCAGTGGAGAGAGGAATCAAGCGTGCCTGAACATGTTGGGAACATTCCCACCGTAGCTTGAGAGCAGAACAAAGGAGACAAGTGACCGAACAAAGCCTTTAAATGAGGAATCCCAGAAAGAGAGTGGAGAATCTTGATGGCGATCTCATTTTATCGTCGGAGGGCAGATATCGACATCACCGGGATTGACGAAATCTTGTTGCATTGCGCGGGAACGTGCATTGACTGGGTTGGGGTCTGTATATTCTGCTTTGTCGTCACAGGCAGGTTTGAAGTGATGCGATGGCTGCTGTAGAGTAGGAAATGAAATAGTAGGAATAAAACATTTCACAAAAGAACAGAGATGCTAAAAGCAAAGAAAACAATTTGAACATAGTACCATATCGAGAAAACAGGGGCTGATCGGGACACGCATGGGTGTAGAATAAGAGATCAGAGGGTAGACATGTACACACTCTTGCACCTTGCAACGCTCAAATTGGATTGGCAGCGATGAATGTCAAAGCGTGTGTCAAGACGCAAAAACTAAAGCACCAGACAACTGTCTAACCACACGTGTTACACAGATCCAGCATGAATCTGACGCGTATGATGAGCGCCCAACTGGACGTTAGAAAAGAAAAGGCCAATGCGTTTGGAAGCAGTGGTTGCTCGATCTGATGATGGACATGAACGTGTGTGTTTAGGCAGGTGACCACCCTCTCTCTATTTGGAAGACTCAAAAGAACGGAGGGTTGCTTACAATGTGTGGGACAATGAGATCGCTGAACCGTACCAAAAAAAATCCAGGAAGATAGCTTTGGATTTTGTGTTGGTTTTGGTTTACATTTCCCGGGTGGGGTAAGAGACGCAAAAGTAGATATTGAAGCAGGACCCGGGAAGCGTCGCTATTCAACCATGTCGTTCATTGAGCATGAGTCAAAATGACACCATTGAGACATTTCGTCTGAGCGGGGGATGGGTTGGATATTTTGTGGGGTTACTGGTTGTGCTGAACTTAGCTGGGTTGCATGGTAATGCGTAAAAGCCCGCAAGTTCCCACTGACTTTCCCAGACGGAGCATAAAAGATGAAAGGAAAAAGGTTAAAATAAGGTGGCTTCTGCGAATTTTTGTAGGGGCAGTCGCATTTGCATGGCAACTTCTGTTCCACGTGCAGAGTTGGAGACGTTCTCCAGGCTCCGCCCGTATCATGTACAGCCGCTCACAGACGGGAAGAGGCGCAGTGGTCATACAGATAGGGGTAGTCGATGGTAGCAGTACTGCTGAGAAAACTCGATAAGGAATCTTCTGATTTTTGGCGGGTGATCATGAAAGACTCGTGACGCAGCAGGAATATCGTCATGGAAGACAGTCCTTCCATTTGATACTCCGCGTAGTTCACTGACGCTTCCCAGCGCGAATAATGCGGAATAGATGGCATCAGCCTGGCGCTGCCAGGTAAGGGCTGGTCACCCAGCTGCCGGCCTAAAGGCAAACTCGGTTACACTCGTGACCTTTGCACTGCCACCGGAGTGAGCATGATCGAACGATTTCAAATTCAGGTGAAATTCAGAAAAGAAAAGAAAGACCTGAGAACCACGTCCCTTAGGTCTACAGGCCAGGACTATACTTTCGGCTTGGTCCCAATCTTCATTTCTACTTGCGCATATCTGTCCGCTTGAAATTGGGTGATAGGGGATATTGATCGGAGTTTTGTAGAGCCGTCGGAGTTTGAATGTCCTCAACCTAAAAGGCAACAGCCGGCATTTCCCGTTTCATCACCCTTCTGTGTTGCTCCCCTTTTCCAACCTCAGTCCTTTCGTCCACCTCCTTTGAACTCTTCTTTAGGTGAGTTCCTCTGTTTTGAGGTAACGAATGACACGTTCTTCGACGTGCTCATTCTCCACTCATCGCATACATTGTTCACTTCGTCTTTCTTGATCTCGCGACCTTGAACAACTGACTCGACGTCCCTATGTAGTGTTACATCAGTTCATAATGTCTGAGCCCACTACTACCGCCGCTACCACTGAAGTCATGGCTGAGGCGCCCGCTGTTGCCGTGATTGCCCCTGAGACTAAGGTGATACAGGTTTCCCCCGTCGAAACTCCTTTTTCATCTTTCCTGATATGTATTCTGTAGGAGACCACCACTGACCCTGCCCCTGTTACCGAAGGTGCCACTGAGACCCCTGCCTCAGCAACTGAGGCAGAGGGAGCCGTAAGTATCCTTTCTGCTAGCCTCTCAACCTCTGCTTATCACTGACAAAACCCCTCCATCTTGAATGTGCAGACCTCAAAGCCCGAGAAGACTGAGGTGCCCAAGGAAAAGAAGAGTCCAACGATACTACAGAAATTGCTGGCGCCTTTCAAGGGGTCCAGAAGTCCTAAAAAGGAAAGGAAGGCTCTTGAGGTAAGCGCCTGATCACGTTTCTATCGTAACAAGATCCATTATGGAGTTTCGTTGCTAATTCTCACGGGTTCCTCAGCCTGAGACTGCAGAGACTCCTGCAACTGCTCCCGAGACCTCTGAAGCACCTGCCGAACCAGTCCCGGCGGTGACAGTGGAAGCCGCCGAAGCTCCTAAGCAGGAAGAACAAGCTCCTGAGCCCGCGCCTGTTGATGCGCCCGCAGAAGCTCCTGCACCCGCAGAAGAGAAGCCAGCCGAGAAGGTCAGTTGCGAACTCCCCAGATGACAGAATTATTGAGTATTGATTTGAAATCATGTTGTATCAGAAGGAGTCCAAGCCTGTCAAGGTTTCTCGTCGCATCTCGGCTCGTGTCGGCGAGCTGTTCAAGCCGAAGCCAAAGAAGGAGGTAGCTCCCGCCCCCAAGGCAGACGAACCTGCTCCCAAGATTGAGGAGCCCGAGCGTGTTGCCCCTCTGGAAACGCCTGCACCAGCAATGGCGTCCGCTGTTGAGGAGCCTGCTGCCGAGACTAAGACCGAGGAGACCCCTGCTGCCCCACCGGCTGCTCCTGCCGTCGCCGCTGCTGCCTGAAAGAATGCTTCGTCGTTTATGGTTCTACTTATGTCCTTTTACGAACGTATTTGCGTGGTTTCTGTGGATTCTTTTCTTTTGATCTCTTGGAACTGGAAGTGGCATGACAAGCCTTCCCATTCTTCATTATTCTATCCATCATCCTCGCCCTTCCTGCATATCAATGGTCTGGCTGTCGCAACACGGCACATTTTACCTGCACAACCCTCTTGATATCGTCATACTGTGAGCGTTCTGGACTTCGCTTCGATGTTCAGAATGTGGAACGGCTTTATTCACTTTTCCCGCTTGTTTGTTTGCCCTTTCCTTTCATGTCCAATCACTAATGCTTATCGTTCTGTGTTCGCTTCCCGCTCACATCATTTTCTCAGCATAGTCTTCTGTGGTTACCACAAATTTTTCTTACTATAAGCATACCCTGGTAGCTCATGTCTTGACTGCGCTTTTTCCGTGAATCTATCCATCCGGTTGGCAACCGTTGCAACTGTGTTTTGTCGTTCCAACCTAGAGCGCAGACGGTTGAGTTCTCAGATATGACATATGTACCCAGTGCTCTTCCAATATTGGCCCAAGTGGAGGTTTCTCAGGGTACGTGTGAAATGAAGCCGTAGCTTTTGATGTCTTTGCTTTGAGATATTACTTAAGTGACCCTCCTATCAACATTATGTAATTCATACAAGCCTACAAGCGCTGCAGTGGGTTAAGACCTGGAGTAATTGACTTCTCTTCTAGCTGATGACGGTGAAAGGGGGGCCTTATCTCATTTCAGTCAGCGCCGGGGATCGACGGTGGGGTCGCAGCTTGGGCAGAAGTGGATGATATGTAAGATCAAGTTCCACAAACAAATTCCTCCATAAAATGGTTATGTATTTGCTTGGAAGACAGTGATGAACATGGTGATGTTGTAGGGAACAACGTGATGGAGATTGAACAATAAACAAGAAGCTGCGCCAAATTGAGCCATTCATCAATGTGGTTGAGTTAAATGCGCAATAGATCGACGATGATGGGATGTGTTTTTCCTGCAGCGTTTACGAAAACGGTTTCGATAGGTTTAGGAAGAAATACATTCGAGGGTTCATCAACTTCCATTTCAAATTCGGTGGAGGCATTAATTGCAACATCAATTTGTTGGCTGTTCTTGGAACTCCTGCCCTTGCGTGCATGGGCGATGGGCGATGGATGGCGGGAAATGATCGTAGCACCACGAGCCTCATGAATGTGACCAAAGACGTGTAGGCGAACATGAGGGAGCCAGTCGGCAAGTTCTCGATCATTATCATGAGTTGATTTTGAAGGGGACGATCGTGTATGTCGGTGGTGTTGGCGTGGTGTCGAGAGGTTTCCTGGGCTCTGGGTAGTGGGCTGGGCTTGGAGGAGGGCTGTTGCGGTACGTGGGTCATCTCGTTCGAGAAAGTCCCATGTCATTTCTTCTTCGTTGAACTGCCGCCCGCGGGGGATTGAAGGTGGATAGGAAAAGAGACGGCGAGAGAGAGCGCTGCAGCCCGCATGCTTTCCTCGCCTTGTAGCATCGAGGATATTTCGAGGTGGGCCATGAGTGATTCTAAGAATACAAGGGAAATTGAGCATTGGAAAATAACGGAAATTATGATGCACGCACAATATTTGGGTATCATGTGGTATAAGGTCATTTATTCCTTTGAAAAGGGGGCGAAGAATGAGTCAACTGCGGTTGTCAAAAGTGACTCGGCCCGGGCGCTTACGTTTTGCTTCACGTCTTCCTTCGTATTGAAATGCACCCGCACTATACCAGGGTGTTCCCTAAACTACTGATCCAGTACTGTTTATAAAGATGAGTACTAAAAGATTACACACTGGACTTCCAAACGTTCTCCAGACATTTCCGTCAGTATGGATATCCCGAGCTTCATACTCGAGGTATCGTATATTTGAATGCCTCGCCTGCTGGCCCGTGAGCATTCTGTTAGACGCCTCCATATCCTGCAATAGTGTATTAGGTTGGGGTAACATGACTGCGACGACAGAATCAAACCTTGACGTCTGCATAAACTCTCATCCTATTTCCCTTGAACATTTCTATATCCAAAAGGTCCTGTAGACACGGTACGGAGCAGTGGTCTGAATAGGTCATTCCTGCATTAGGGGGTGAGCTGCACATACGTCGTGATTTCCTGCAATAACGCTAGGCCCTTGGTGAGTCAACGAAACGCATTGTGGCAGGCGAAGCACAACGGCACTCACAGTTTGTTCGGGTGAGGAAGGGACTTTAGCCAGTGAACTGTGACATCGAGGCCTTTCCCATAATAGCTTAAATCGCCAGCATGAATCAAGATATCGCCACAAGGTACGTTCTCCACAGTTGAGCTATGGGTATCAGAAAAACATATAAATCGCGTCCATCCATGCGCTTTTGGTTTAGGGGGTGGCGAGCGCACGTCATATTCGAGGTATACGTGGGCTGTAGCAGTATGGAGTTCAGCCTCGCTGTCGGCCTGGAATGCAGAGCGCCCTTGCGACATTGGCTTCATCGCTCGTCTCTCCCGTTTGGCGTTGATTGTTAAAGAATTTATACTGTGTGTGAGGGATTCTATAGCTGCCTGCATCTTAAGAGAATGGATCTTAGGGCAATGAGAGGAAGAAAGAGAAAGACGCGCGGGCTGCTTTGAAATCTTGTGCTTTGCATCGGGACTTCGCAATGAATACGGTCGCCGAACGCCAGGTTTGCATCCGACTCAAGCGCCGAGCGTCACGCACCTGGACCACTACGTCAATTGCATTTTTAACGCTGTTACGGACATACCGGGCGCGACACCATCACTTTTTGGAGCGAAAGTCGCGCATTGCATACCTGCACTTTTGAGCTCACCGCTGCGCGTTATACCTATGTCACTTGAGTTTTCAGCAGCTCCAGTGTTATGTATTGTATGCGCCACACCACTATGCTTCTTCATCATCTCAGGCCAACATTTCCCCACAAAATTTGCGTCCAAGTGCCCCACGTTCAAGTTGATTTTTTACGAACGGGACCAATACCCGTTTGTTTCTATCGGACGGATTCTGTCGAAAAGGGTGTAGTGGTTTTACAATGGTGCTGTTGATTGACCTACAAACAGATGTGTAGAAGTAGCTCAAAGTCGAGGTATACAACGTGCGGCGCTTGGATGCAAATTCAAGGGATGTAGGTATAGAATAAGTATAGACGCGCAGCGGTGAGCTCAAAGTGCAGGGATGTGCAATGCGCGACTTCCGCTCAAAAAGTGATGGTGTGGCGTCCAGTATGTCCACAACAGCGCAGGAGTATAGACGCACAGCGGTTAACTCAAAGTCTAGGTAACGCGACTTGGGTCGGATGCAAACTTCGACTTGACCGTGAATGAATGAGTGGCAGTGTCAATAGTTTCTGACACGTCTCGTCCGGTTGTTGCACGTCAAGTGCATCTAAAGTGCATCGTCCGTGACGATGAAATTTGACTACACGTTGGGGTTTGTGAGACTCCTTTTCCCAGTTATATCTGCCTCTTTTGCCACAGGTGAACTCAATGGGGAAGATTCATCTCTGTTTTGGGGAACATTCCGGCCCAATCTGTACTTTGGCCTTCGACCCCGCGTGCCAAATTCGCTCATGACGGGTTTAATGTGGCATAGCCTGGCAGATTATAGAGCAATATCAGGTACTAAGTGGCGTTTTGGTTTATACACGTACACTCTGATATCCAAATTTGGGCAAATCATAGAAACGCGCCATGCTTGCGAACAAGGCGATAGATTTGAGGGATATACTTGGACTGAGCACGATCCTCGCCTAGGAGGAATCCAGGTCTTAAACGACACTAGAATGAATGTGCAGCTTACGACGGAGTGGTTGAAGGTATCTGGCGGCGAAACTGGCGGTAGCTGGGCCGCCCGCATATCAGGGAAGCCTATTCGTGAAGGTATGGATTCAGCACCCTCAATCAAAATGCTAGCGCTTATATAGTTTGCAGATGAGCCTTCATCAACGGCTATTTATTTCTATGTTGGATCGGATGGTCTTGGCTCTCTTGAGTTAGAGAACGAAGAGGACGGAAATGTGAGTATTTCCCATACATGTTACGTTGGGATGGCCATGTATATTGTCTGGGATTAGGGTATTGAAGGTGTGATCCGGTTTACCGGAAGTACTTCACACCTGGGCGACTTCAGACTCCGCATTGAGGATGGTAAGGCCATCCACGACGGATCCTGCTCCCGGTTTTAAAGAGAAGTACTTCGTAGGTCCCGATGTCACATATGTCACAGAAGGCTTGCACGCGGAGCGTTTCTCGAGGAAGCTCGGAAAGACGTCTTTTATCGGGTTGCCTCTCCAGCAAGGCCAAGTTTGGAAAGCAAAAGGTACATTTGATTGTTCATATGGCAGTGATCGGGACGATAGAATCCATCTTCAGAGCTTCTCTTGAGGAATATCTTTCAGGAAGCTCAGCCTATCTTGTCGGAGTATAAGGATAAGGACAGGGAACCTCCATCACCAGCGTTCGTCTTGACCTTCGCGAACGAGGTCTATGATGGAGCAAAGCTTTTTGCTATCCAGAATCTTTCGTTGGGGAATTCTCATTCGACATCTATTACGATGCGGAAGATGTGAAGACAAAGCTGGATGGTGATTGTGCCCTTCAACATCGACGTTCATGTTGCTAATGATACTTATCAGCGAATGGATTAACCGCGGGTATCAAAGGGTTTAAAAATGCGTTTCATGAACGTTTCCTGCAGAAGTTCCCATTACCATCGACGACACCAAAGGATTTGATCGATTTCTCCAAGGCCATCACCGCTAATCTTCTTGGGGGCATCGGATACTTTTATGGAACATCAATTGTGGATTCGTCATTCACACATGACTGGGACGATGATGAAATGTTCAATACTGGAGAGAAGAAGTCCAGCCATCCCGCCCTCGTCGAACCCCGTGAATTGTTCACCGCGACTCCAAGCAGGAGCTTCTTCCCTCGGGGATTTTACTGGTAAGTCCCTGGGGGGCCTCTTCCGATCATAGCTTGAATTGCCTTCCTCTAGGGACGAAGGTTTCCATCTTCAATTAATTGGCGAATGGGACAATGACCTCAGGTGAATGAACAGGTACTAGCCAGGATTCTAAGCTTAAGTCGTCATTATCCGTAGTCTGGACATTCTTAAGAGCTGGGTGGATTTGATTGACGATGATGGATGGGTTGGTCGTGAACAAATTCTTGGAGAGGAGGCTCGAAGCAAGGTCCGTATCTGTTTTTGAAGATCTCATATTGCTGATAAACAAGTACAGGTGCCCCCGGAGTTCCAGACACAGTACCCAACTTACGCGAACCCCCCTACGTTGACGATGGCAGTTACTGCGTACATTGACCGTCTCCGAGCACTCCCCGATGAAATCGATGTGAACCTTGGAATGGACCCAACTGGACAACAAGTGCTGAAAGTTCCGGTTCTCGAGCCAGGTAACAGGAGACTCGTTGATCGTGATGCCGCAAAGGGTTATCTGCGTTCCATTTATCCGCTTTACGCCGACATTATCACTGGTTCCGCCGAACTCAGCGCGGCCAAATCCGGCAGTGGGGAAGGAAGGCCCGGTCGCGCACTGAAGCCTACAGGTGGCGTGGCAGGTCAGAGACTCACGTACTGACGAGTGGGTTGGATGACTATCCACGAGCGTCTCTGCCACACGTCGGCGAACTACACCTTGATTTGATAAGCTGGATGGGATTCTTTACTAGGACAATGCGCGACATAGCGAGTTTGCTGGAGAGAAGGAAGACGAGGCCGAATTAGGGAAATTGAAACTGCTATATTGCATAACATTGAAGGTGTGCCTGGCGCTTTCCATATTAAATATAATGTCTAACCTTTCATTGAAGATCTGCATTGGAGCGAGGATAACAATATGTATTGCGACGTGGGCATCGACGAGGACGGTACGTTGCTCTCGCAGTGAATTCAATGCGATATCTAATCACCTGTCTACAGATGAGTCGCATTTTGTCTGCCACAAAGGGTATATATCGCTGTTCCCCTTCCTTCTTGGCCTCTTGGATCCCAATTCGCCACATTTGGGCTCAATATTGAGCCTCATCCGGGATCCAGATGAGCTATGGTCTCCTTACGGCATTCGAAGCTTATCGAAGTCGCACCCGCTGTTCGGTCAAGGCGAAAACTACTGGCGAGGACCCATTTGGGTTCAAATGAACTACCTTGCGTTGAGCACGCTATATAAGGTATGTAGATCTTATTGCAGCTAATTCTGTCAATGCTGACGCTCTTCACATGGCTATTTACGACCAGACTTATATACCATCACCAGGACCATATCAAAGGCAAGCCCGTGATATTTATGACGAGCTGCGGACGAACATTATTAGCAATGTGTTCAAGGTGCGGAATTATGAAGGCCATCATCTGATTATTTGATATACATTTCGTCAGGAATACCAACGCACCGGATATGTATGGGAGCAATACGATGCCCTGACGGGTGAGGGCAAACGTAGCCATCCTTTCACGGGCTGGTCTTCGCTAGTGACATTAAGTAAATTGGTTATTCTTTCCATCATACTGAACACTACTGAACGATTTTCCTAGTTATGTCGGAAAAATACTAAGGTGTGCGATGTCACGCGAGGGTTGTGCAAAAACTAAGACTTATTATCACTGGGCTTGTATACACAGTCGGTTACTATCAGCGGGGCACGGGCATCGCAGGATGCCAAATGACCGAATGTGGCTGCAAGGGCGCTCCATGTTTGCCATCACTAGTCGTCGCCCGAGTCAATTCATTTATGCGTGTCTCCGAGCGTCAATCATCATGCTGACAAGAGGGGAGACTACAGAAGCAACGGATGATCCCACACCGCAGCCTGGTTACGCGCCAAGTAGATGGGACGAATATGCAGAAGCTCTTTCTGCATCAATTGGCACGGATTTCTGTCTGTCAACTAAGTACTGTCGCAATATAGGAGTGATGAGCGCTCCCGCGGTTATTCATCGGAGATTACACAGCATGAGAATTGGATGCAACTTCACGGGATATTAATGTGTGGATGTTGAGACGGGAAAAAGTACGGTGATGCTATGGCTTCTCGAGCCACCGTTCAACCAGGAAGACTTGTGGCTTATATGGTTGAACACGTTTGCGCGGGTGAACGGTGCCCGACTTGCCGGGTGGGTGGCTTTCAGAGTATCCCGAGTGGAAAAGCCTGTCAGAGTGAAGTGTAGTTGCGATGACCTCATGATCCGATTCCCTTTCGCGTTTATTTATTGCAGGGTTGATGAATGTAGTTCGAGTTGAAGGCTGCGTTGGTTCTGGTGCAGACTTGGGTGGGCCATCCCATTCCAAAGTGTATTCCTGATTAACTTTCTTCAAGTGGGCCAAAGCTGAACCCACTTGAAAAATTAAGTGGGACCATGGCGCCCTTAACAGCCCAATGGAAGGGTACAATAGGTATACCCAGTCTAAGAATATCCAGGATCAACAACGTAGAGGGGACGTTGAATGGACAAATACCTTTTAGCACATATGCATTAGGGTCGGGATTCCCAAACACAATCTGACCGATCCGGTCCACTGAAGCGCCTCGAGTCACCACCAAACGGATCGCTTCCTGCACCCTTCGTTTCATCGTCGATCGTATGACAGGACTATTCCGTGTGTCTTTTCTCGAAGTAAGGGGGAGTAATCCAAATGGTAAGCAAGTTGTTGAACGGTACTTTTGGGGATCGCGTGGGGGGAAGGGATAAGTAGCATTATTGTGTGGGTGAAGCACGGCGTACGGAAACGCCTTCAGGGTAAAAATCTCCGACTTAAAGACGGGAAAGCTTTTCGGACCCACCCTTAGGGATGGGTGCTTGGGATCAAGGACAGCTCCAGGAACGATAGGGAAGCTCCAAGAGGGTTTTGCAATGCTTTGTGAGGTGCCTGGTAGGACTCCACTGAACTTTGAGGAAAATATGTCAATAATTCTACCTCACTTGATGCCGATGCGACAGCAACAGCATACCTTCAGTGAACGGGCCTGTTTCCAGAGAGGCGGAAGATTCGAAAGCTCGGTGTATTTAGGTCGCGCGGGGATTAGGTCTTGGGAGTTATCCTTGAGGACCAGTTGTTTGTTGAGGTATTTTCTGGCCAACTTGGGAAAGTCATCCCAGCGATTGCTCCATTTCATGTGTCGCAAGCAATTATTGTGACGGAGCACTGCCACAACTCAAGCTGTTCAAGCTCTACCAGGCCAAAAATCAAGGGCACATAGATGACGAACGTCGAGAACGATAATATTTCAAGGTGCTTATTGGTCAGCGGAGATATACGGACTCGGCCACTCTCCACATGATAACTAATGCGCTTGAAAGCCACTAACAAAGCGCGCGGGTGCCCTCGGTCAAGTTTAGGGTCTTAGCCGGAGATGATAAGTGTGGAATATCGGTCGAGCGCCGAGGCCCATGCGGCTGAGCGCTAATATAAGAATACTACTCGTAGGCATGCTCAGAGCCGGAGGGACTCGGATTGTTAAGGCGTCCGCGCTGGCAATCTACTGCATAAAATGATGCCGACTAACGCAAACAGCTTGGCTGTGAATGACCAATCGGGGTAATTTCGGCATGGGGAGGCACACCGATAAAAGCCAGCGATTATGCTTAGTGTTTGTCCCAGTAATGAAATAGTGAAACATGTGTGGACAGAAAGATTAGCTCTAGTACCAGGCAAATTCCAGGTGAACATGGATCATTCGAAAAATATATGTCATCCTACATACTCAGGAGGCGGTCCTGCGGGGAAGGGGAGGGAAAGGAGGCGCGTGTCACGAGAGTTAAGAGGTGCATTAAAATGCACACAAATGAATGAGAAGAATGGTTCGAAGGGAGCATTCGCTGTTCTTATCCATGTCTCCACAAATCATGCAGTGCGCAATCTGAGCTGTGATCGGAGCCTGAGAGCAGGTGCAAGGCAAAGCAGAGGGGAAAGAATTAGGCCATGAACGGCGTATCTCAAGAACATGGCGTTAGTCAAAAAGGGGAATGAAATGAAATAGAGAATAGCGGTACAGCTACGACGACGTAGTAGTCCCGGATAAGAACAGGTGCATCATCCTTACATGCTCTACATCGAGGACCAACCAGCAACAACTGAATGCATTGATTATTAACCGCTCGATCAGTGGCCTGCGATGTGGGGCTCACCGGTTGCAGCATATAGATGACAGATTCGTTTCATTGCCATAGTAGTTGCGTCCGCCTGATTCTGATATGTCTGAATGGCCTGAATGTGGTCAGGATCATTCCGCCGTTGCAGCCGTTCAATGTGACTCATGAAGGTTTCCGATGCATGCTTAAAGCAAACCTGTAAGAAAAGTCAGTAGAGTACGAGGAGTCGTCGATAGAACGCTTACAGCTAGCACAACTTCTAAATAATTGAAATCATAATGTGTTATACCCTCTAGAATATTCATGATCTCATTCGCCGCCGCTAGTGCCTTATCGTAGGAGCGGCTGTCGTGGTTTGATAATGTAGTATGAAGATTGATCTTCGTCGCGTGAATCATAGCATGAGGTAAAATCATTCGAGTATGAATCGGCATGGATTCAGTTGGTGGAGTATCACCATCTTCATAGTAGCTCAACGGCGGAATCATCCGTTCAACTCGGGTCAGCGCAGCCTCAATTTCTCTAAAGTGCTTAGGAAAGTCGGATCGACTTGGGCCTGAATAGGGAGACAAGCAGTTACAGGGAAAGCACAAGGCAGTGTTGCATAAAACGAACCTTGCCGCCGGAGATTGGCTGCTCGGACCCAAAGTTCCATCACCTTGTATTGGATGGAGGATATTGACTCCTGTTTCTCACGTGGTCGAACAGATGTCGAGTCATCGTAGAGGGATTGGAAGGAATACATATCCAGAAGTGTTACGGTGTCCTAACCAGATGATAAACATAAACGTCAAAGTGAATAGATTGAAATGGCCAACGTTGATGAAGGCGCGCATCGCTGGAGGCCAGCACGTCTTGATCTTCAGAAGAGGGATGTCGGGAGTATCAACCAAGCTGGGTGCAAAACCTGTTGACAAAACACCATACTTATCCACACACCAAACCTACGGCATAGCGGTAAGTGGTCAATGACAATGGTTTATTAACAATATGTGCTTACTTGCCAGAACGTGTGAATGCGCTCTCCCAATTCAATATTATTTTTGGGTTCCGGAAGCACAATCATCTTAGTTCCCGTGTTCACAATAGGCGATGCTCCGGTAGATGGCGCGGCAAGGTCAGATGATACAGCGGCCTTAATTTGGTGCAAGCCGCACGCGATTGCCATCCTGCATGTGGCACCGCTCATCCAGTATCCTTCAAGCACTTTCCCTTTGAAGAAAAGATAGAAGGACACGATGCACGCCGCCTGAATAGCGTGCAGAATACGATCCTTCGTTTGCAAAGCTGCCGTAATGCCTGCCCGAGAGCGGGCTAGGAAGATACCATCATGCACCGACAGGTGGCTTGACCGCGAAAAATGACTGGCGAAGAGATATATGGCGTTCATTAAGCATGGATGGGGACGATCGGGGGAGCCTCGGGGGAGCGAAAGGGAGCGGAGGAAGCGATCAATGTTAAACTCGAAGTGTGCCTGGTGGCGATGACCAGTGAAAACGGTCAACCTGGAGAAGGAATCGGTGGGGAAGATTTAAGAGGTATTATCGGAGTTGACAGACGCACATTGTTCGTTGGTCTATCCCTGCTGGTAGTTCATCGGTATCCCACTCCTGCTCTTGAAAGCTCGGGGGTTATCACTTGCCAATGAACGAGGACCCAACGAGGCCTGACTTCGCAGGGACCATGACCCTGGCCTGACTGGTCCCAAATTCATTCCTCTTACTTGCCCGGAAAGCTCACTTGCCCCAGTAACACTGAGTCCAGACCCGGAAGACATGGTGGTAAATGCAGAAACTCCGCAAGTTGAGTTGCGATCGCCTCTGTACAAACTGTGGGGATCATTGGAAGACTGATCTGATGAGCTTGAATGATGGGAAGTCGCTAAATGTTGCTGAAGATGCGAGTCGTTCGTACTTAGAGAGAAGGTGGTTGTCGGTACGGTGAGGGTTGAGGGAGTAGGGCTCTGGGGTGCACGAGCTTCTGTGCTGGTGGGCGCCTGATCAGCCGATAAAGTCTTGTACAGTCTCAAACGTTCTTCAAGCTGTCTTATTTGCTCTTGAAGCTTCTGAGTGTTTGTGGGTCGATTCTCATCGTAATAACATTCATTGCCACGGTTGGCACGAACACACTGCTTGCACCTTGGTTTGTCGGCATCACATTTCTGGGACAAAATGACTTAAAAGAGGATGGTTACAAGATGTTGCCAAACAAGCGCTCACCAATTTGCGCTTTCGACAGATGGCACAGGCGTGACCTCGTGGTGGAGCAGCGGCGGGCATCGGCATCGTTGTAGTGCGTCTAGATGAGACTTGAGCTGGCAGGGTGCGCAGCCGGAAGAAGGTTGAGAGCGAACACGCAGGAAAGGCGTTTGCAGAACTTATGTACCAACCAGTCATATTGGGCGCCCCGATGCGTTGCGAATCGACCCACACAGCCTCTGGATTCTGCGCGTAGGGGCAGGCACCTCAGAAAGACCGATATCGATCGGGAAGCGGACACTAACGTATTGGTACTAACGAAATATCACCTCGGTGGAAGAACGGGGAGGGGTTCGGTTTAAATACCCAGAGTTCTCGTCACATATAAGCGCCCGTGAGCCTTATGACAAAACAGGGTGAAATTCGTGCCGGATGCAGATGCACCCCCGCGGCTGTGCAACCCGGCCAAAAAAGGCAACCAAATTTTATTCATGTCACACACATACCATCGCGCTCTGACTAAGTGAGGTAAGGACATCATGAAGGTAATTTCAATTTCACGTCTGCTCCGAGGCCGCTTGATACAAGGTATGCAACAACCAGGAGACACTGTCCTGCCAAATCAATTAGGGAAGAATGGATGGGAAGGCAATAACAATCGGGGTCCAAGTTCCGCGCCCATAAGAACTGGGTTAAAAAGTAAGCGAGTCCCAGAGAGAGAGCGGTCTAGCAGCACCGAGCATGAGTGAATGGACTGCCGGTCACGAGATTGTGGACACCTACAGAAAAGCAAAATACCACCACATACACTGTCAGGAACACCCCTGGGACATCTAGCCATCCTGCCCCACACATAAAGGCGAGGTAGCTAAACAGAACAGGCAGGCCAACGAAACCCAGTGTCATAGATGTGATAATGTACTTTTTCCCTGACGGATGCGCAATCATCGCCGGTCCAGCGTGGAGGTCCGTCGACAAGCGTGACACGAAGATAGATCCAATAGAACCTGGTAATCCTGTGCATCCCTAATCAGGGCCTGCTGCGGTCAATAGAAATGCAGCGTTGCATACCGGATATTACTATGGCAAGCGCCCCATAGCCTTCCCATCTTGTAACGAATCTATCAAGAACGAGACCCGCCCCGCTAGATACTACCATGGCGCATACAAGCGGGGTCCAGCCCTGTGAGATGTGTTGGCGCGAAATAGTGTTTCGCAGTGTGGTATAAGCCGACGCAATGAGAGTTACGATGACAAAAACGATGATTAGTGCGGAGATAGGCAACCAGGAAAAGGCCGGAAGAGTTATAACAGTGGCCATGAACCCAAGAAGAGCTAAAGTTATTAGATCCCCTAAACATGAGGCCAGGGGCGGCGAAATGTTATCTGTAAAGGGATTAACCACGGGCGCTTGACTGCAATTGACGCGCATCACATTCCACGTACCTGGATTGAGATCAAATCTTCTGCAAAGAATAACAACCGTGCACATGAAAGAGCCCAGTATTAAGGCGCTCGCTGACGCGGAAGCAAATGCAATGCTCAGGACATTGAAAAACCTGCAGAGCGGGGAGATCACGATCAGCATTACAGCATGAACTTATCGTCAATAATTACTCTTTAGCGCCCGATCTGCTTTTCTGCAGGGGCAACTTGGTGGGACGTGTCACACTCCTCCACGTGAGTGGGAACGTGACGGGCGCTAAACCTCGGGCAATAGTTGTGGAGTTCGCTGATAGGGGCACCACGCCTTCCTCCGGAGACGGAAGGATTTTCCCCAGGGCAAATGAGAAGAGAGCTGCGAGGGTTGACATGATAATGGCCTGTATCTGTAGTAGCGAGAGGTTGCCAAATATTAAAGATTGACGTGTAAGAGCATTATCAAGCTCCCCGGTGTTGGCCTAATAAGAACGACTCAATACGTCCAGGACAATGAAGACGAAACGGGTACGACAAACCGCAGTTGACAATCTCGCACTTAGATTCATTTCAAGATTTCCTTTCTAGTTGTTGCCGGACAGTGTCAAACAAGGCATTGTCGCAATAAACGCTCACCCTCAAACCTACCATATTAGTGAGCATCGGTATCATAATGAATAATTCATCTAGAACCCTCATAACCCTCCAGGTCTGCGATATTTTTATTATCGCGTCCTTCGCAAAGTGCTTAACAAAAACTCACAGATATGCGCACCAAAAGCTCTCCAGTGACCACCATACCAATTACTGTGGCAAATAATGTAGGCGCAGCCTCAGGTAAAGACTCAGTCCAAGCCGCACATACACTCCCATCATAGGAATGTTCACCTCTTTTAGTATTCCTTTCACTAATGATGCAGTACTCTCCTTCTCCCTGCGTAGCGAGTTGCTGAGGACGCGTTTGTGCGTAGAAGGCAATGGCTTAGACAATAAGGCTAGTCGAACGTCCCCGCCCTCACTCTCCCCAACTTCGAAATCCATCTCGCTGTCGCTGTCGGGTTCAGAAAACGATTGGCGGTGCCTAACGGCGGGGGACAAGGGCCCTCCATCATCTTCAGGCGGCATACAGCGTCTAGGAGGACTTCCCAGCCCGATGTATGTTTCCTGGTGACCGTCGGTTGATAAAAGTGTGACCTCGGTTCGGCGTTTGCCGTTCTCCGATGATCCGTTGGCCAGTTAGCGCCTGAGCTTGACTCTTGTGTGCTCCAGTGCGCTCATTCCTTAGCCGAGCCATGTTTGTAGGATTTAGGTTCCACCCCCGTTTTCGCTCGTCACTTCTGGCAAATGCCCAGGCCCTTCATGCACCTGGTGTTCCATCCACAGAGGAGTTGGAAGCCCTGGTCAGGGAGCTGAAACAGGCCAGAGAACTCACGCAGAATCGCATTGACAAGGCAGAAGCTGATTTGGACACCGTGTACACTTTGCGTGCTAAACATGAACAAGCGAAAGAACAAGATAAGGCAAACCGCGAAAGTATTGCACGTGAGCGACTCAAGGCGAAAAAGGATGGGGGAATTGGCAAGATAAAGCGCGAAGCCAGCGGTGTGTCTCCATCGTGGTTTTTCCGGATGTATGTTGCAATTTATTCTATTTGGGGGAAGAAACACCTTCCCTGGAGGAGGGACCATTAGCGGTTCATGATTCCAAATTGCGCACAACCGGTGGCGCCACTCGAAAACAGTCAGTGGATTCTTAGTTTTCCCTTTGCAGTTTGACATACTATTATCGAAAGTGCACAGGAAGAAAAGAATAAGAAGAAGCGGAAGAGGGAAGAGCGCAAGGAGCGTGATCGAACCATTGATGAGGGAGAATCTGATGTCTTCGATGTTGGTACGTAGGGAAACCCCCAACGTTTGATTTCTTACTCTTGAACGATTTTTTTACAAGGACGAGCAAGTCCATCGGGAACACCTTTAATTGATCGACCAACAAAAAAGGCGAAGCATGTCCCTCAGACCGCACAACTCACAATCCCCCAGCCACCATCACCACCCCCAGGACCACCCGTGGATCCCGACGTTTGTATAGACTGGGAATTGGTTAAACCGGCTACAGCTTCTCCACAGCCAAGTTTAGGTCTATGGGGACCGAACGGGCTACTGCACAGCACGCCGTCTAAACAGGCAGATGTCAACGATGACTTCTCGGAGGCGAAACAACCTTCTAACCCGGTAGAGCTTCTCTCGCACCTTGCTTCGGTCCTGTTTGTTTAATTCAATCTCCAGATTCAGATTGGGCCATTCTGGAAGGAGGTTGATAGTTGGATGAGGCCCGTGGGGGAGGAAGATGTCGCGTGGGTTAGCTACCAGGTGAGCTTCCCGCCATTGTGCACGTTTCCTATTGAGCCCAGGGTGACCGTAGACAGACGATTCGGAATCCTTCAAGGTACCACCTCTGGGGAGGCACTACTCAGAAACCTGGGAAGAACAGGACCAGCTCCTTGCTGCGCAGCATCAAGCCCTTTTTCATGGTGACGGGACATCATTGCCTCCCCTGACCCCGACTAGTGGCCATATCAATGGGATCCTAGCCAATGCAGCGAGTCTAAATCCTCTCACGGCTGCGGGCAAAAACCCCCCGGTGCCCGAGCCTTTAAATGACAAAGATCTCTCTATGCAGAAGAAGACCCTCGGCCCTTTCACCGAACGAGTCATCAGTGCATTACTGGGAACACCTGGGCACCCCGTTCCACCTACTGCTGATGCTGAGCCGCACGGAGTAGGACCTTCGTCTGCACTTACTATTCCGCTTGCCCCTGTTTCCTTTTCCGACATGGAAACTAGACTTAAACTCGAGCTTAGGGCCTGCGGTCTGATAGGGGTTGATGAGGTAAAATCAGTACGAGGTCCCCTTTGGCATGGGCTTATCACTTCCTTTAGCCTGATTTCTCTCAATCTTACGACGATGAAGTTTCTGGCGAGCTGCGGCGTCTCCAGTCCGAGCTGCGGGTCGTAAAACGGATGAATGACGCTCGAAAAGAACGGCTAGCTGGCGTTGCAACTGATAGGCTGGCGTATCAGGATTACGTCGAGATGGTAGATGACCTGAATAAGCAGATAACGTCAGGCTATCAACGGATAATAAAGGCCCAACAGCGAAACATTGCTGGAGGAAAGAAGAAAAAGGGACCTGGCCAGAAAGATTCCGATGCCGCTGCGGAAGCCGCGAAGGCTAAACACTTGGTAATTGAAGTTCCGGAGCCTTTACAGAAGGTCATTGAAGTCCGGAACCAGTTCAAGGAGGTTCGTCACCTGTAATCATTTTCGATGAGGCTGATATTCACACCACTCATCAGGTCTTCGGGAAGGCGATGATCGAGTGGGAGAAAAAGCAGCCCGGTCGAATCATGGGCTTTCCATTGACCTCCAATTATGAAGACCTTAAGAACCTCTCACTTGAATCCGATAACGAGGATGACACTATGCAGAGCAGCGTGGATCCGTTCCCCTCATGACCACATATACCCCACTCTAGCACCCAGCTGTATTTTATACATTACATTATCACTGCCATTGTACTTGTAATAATTGCTACCGTTATCATAGAAACCAGAAAGCAGTCGAAAGTGAAGGAAATGCCATTGGATTAGTCGATGCTTTTCCTGTGCTTCCTCTTGCTCTTGGGTTTGGGAGGTGATGAACTCTGTCCCTCCTCTTCATGTTTATGCTTCCGCTTCTTTTTCGACTTGTGGGGCGAATCTTCCACAGGAGGGCTTCCTCCATCGAGTTTCCTTACGGGCGCCAATGAGCCGATTGGGTAGAACTGGTGCTTTAACAATTCTGTGGGTTGAACAGGCTTTTCTGATGCTTGGATGGACGGGGACACAGAATTTCCTTCTGCACTCATTGGTGATAGCGCATCTGGTACTTGACGAATAATGAAATGGCGTGATAGAGGTTTTGGTGCTGTCGGAACTGAGTGTCAAACTCCAAAGGTGATTTTTTTTAGTTCCCTATTGCACATACCCGTATACAGTTGATCACCCTTAACTTTTCGAGGGAGAAGACAGGCGAGATGTTTCATTTCGTCGGCACCAACTCCTGAATCCTCTTTAACTTGAGTCAATTCATATTGCACATCCTTCGTCGTAAAAGAGAGTGTTTTCCCCGATGATTTATTGGCCATCGAGAAGGGAATATGCATCCCGTCCAATTGTTTGGGATCTAGCTTAGAGTGGGCACCAGTGACTCTTGAGATGGTTGTGGTTTTGGACAGAAGACAAAAAAAAACATACCCCCCTTGGTACACGTACGGCTATGAGCTCTATATTAGGATTACTCCCAATTACATCCCAATCCACCTCCGGCAGTGCACCGCGAATAACAGTATAATTGCTGTCCATAAGCCTGTTATCTAACGCATTGTATGGCTTGTCAAACTACATAGAGAAAACGCACAAACTCACCCCTTTTGTACCCGCTCGTCTTCAGGCGGTTGAGAAGAAGCCACATCAGCTTGAGATTTGGATTTTCGCTTCCTTTCCTTTTTCATGTCTTTCATGTCGGTGTTAGTGGACGGCCCGGGCTTGTTGCTAGACCTTGGTTCCTCCACTACATCGTCGTCAGAGACAAATTCAGAAGATAAAGCACCCGAAGATTTCCCATTCTTCCCCTTTTCCTTTCTTCCCATTTTTAACACAGCGGGAGGCATCTGGGAGGCTGATCACGTGTGATTATAATCGTGCGAACTTCCACCCACAAGCGCTGCCAGGGAAAAGTGAAAGGATTTCACTTGGCGAGTTATAGAGCAGGATATGTCCCAATTGCGGTCGCTCCTAGCGTCTGCCCCTTCAGCCGCCCAATCAGCAATTCTTGCGAAACGGACTTCACGCATCGCAAAGCAACTGACACTCGAGAAACTGCGAAGTGAAATCTTCCAGACTTCTTTTAACCCAACATCGACTCGCTCAGGAGCGAAATACCTACGCTCCCGACTGAGAGGGCCATCCATGATCAATTACTATCCTGCCCAACTCTCAATACGAAGGGTGAACGGCGTTATAAGCGAATTGTACAGAGAGGCATTACGGAAGGATAAGTTAACGCCTCCCCCTATATACCTAGAGGACACCAAAGAGCTTCAGAGGCTAGAAGACGTAGCTGCCCTGAAAGCTCGAGGGAAAGGAAAACCTGCGAAAGCCACAACAAAGGGTATGTCCTATCCGTCCGTGCGGGATTGTGCTTATGTCATTACCTACAGCTGCCAGTCGGAGAGCCAAGAAGAAGGGAGGAGCCAAGAGGAAATGATCTCAAACGTGTCCACATCTACCCTCAAATACTGCCCTTTTGTATCTTTATTCCTGTATGCGCCTGTCTCTCGCTTTGGTTGATTCTTTCCCCTGTAATTGACGAGTTCACACGGCACGGGTGGCTCCGCTGTGTCCTCACAATTGGTCCATGGACGTTCTAATTGTTCTGCGTCAAGCTATCAAAGCAAAACAGCCTATAGTTTATTTGGATGCGAGCTCTCAGTCATGCCAGACGTTGCAACAGGCAACTTACATCTCTCTCGGGCCAGGTACAAACATCCCTAAGACAGCGGCAACACGCTTCCAAAAGCCCAATGCCAGTACTCGCGACTGGGTTGGCCACCCTGAGGATTTCTTCACCCTTCAAGCTGTTATTGTTGCATGGATGACAAAGGACGCACCAACTACTGAGTATTTGAAGCAGGCTCGAGAAAATCTCGCTGGGGCTGGCTTTGTATCTGTCACCGACCGCAAGTTACTTGTGGAATGGTTAGAGGGAAAATCTGTAGAGCTCGAGAGGTTGATACCGATAGGTTTGTGCTGATTTGGGGCTTGAGTTACATAAGTCACAGCTCCTACTTGGCGTCAACAACAGAGTCAACTACACCTGAGGGCTCACCGCGGGCCACCACATCCGCTTTGCCGGGAACAGGGACATCAATTTCAAGACCAACTGGTGCGGCCGCTGAAAAGCGACCATACACAATCGACCAAAAAGACGTTCTGGCTGTCAAGAGAATACGAGCGAACGAAGTAGAGCTGCGAGACCGTAACACAGTCTTGCGAGGCGTTAAGAATCATGTACGTCAGCAGCACGTAACCAAACGAATGGCTCTTAACGCCTCTCTCATTCTAGGACTTCTCGAGTGTGAAAACGCTAATTGCAGATCGCATAAAAGCCGCAAAAGAACAGTCTAAACCGCCTGCACCTACAACAGATATCACAGCTGGGAACAAGACGGGTTGGATATTTTGCCATTGGGTTGTAGCACTACTCCTGACTTCATACTTCACCAACAGATCCGAATGCTTCCGCGAAGAAGAATCGTGAGTTTGTTCCTGGTCCCCTTGGCAAGCTTCAACTCTCAGTCTTACCCATTCCCCAGGAAATGTCGCACCCATCATCATGATTCCATCAAGTCCAACCTCCCTAATAACCATGTATAATGTTCGTAAATTCTTAGAAGACGCTCTGTATGTTGCCGCAGTTGCACCATTCTTGGGAAATAACTGAGCTTCCCGTGCCAGGTACGAATCACCTGAGGACGCGAAACGGAGAATGGCTGCCGAAGGGAATAGCAGGCTCGATGACGTTTTGCCGATTTACCGGAAGAAGAATCTAATCGTCGCCGGCCGACCAGAAGGGGGTGTTGAGAAACCCATTAAATATTTCGTTGTTGACGGCGTAGAAGCCCTAGGCAAGTTTGGCACAGATGCATGGTACAGTCTGCTTCGTCCAGTGAACCGTAACGGTATTAATTCTCTAATCCCGGAAAGGGATCGAGTCGTTTGTGTGATGACCACTGGCCAGGCGTGGCAATTCAAACCATACAAGTGGTCTGACCCTACTCAGCTCTTCCATCACGGTAAGATGCCTATCGACTCGCTTTCTATCGTATTCACGCCATGCCCCGTGGTCTAGTGAAAGGCATTCATGTCACATGGGCAAACGACCCACCAAATTCCCGCATCCGTGACTGGAATGTGTCTGATCTGAAGGTCTGTCATCCTGTTCGTTCAATATCGAATTCTCCATAAGCCTCGTTTAGATTGATTCGAACAGACGACATCTGGACAAATCAACAGTGGCAAACTTTTGGATGCAAATAGACGACTGGATCCAAGCAAACAAACCATGGCTTCCCACATGATCCAAATGCTTCTTCGCACAATCGGTGCTGAATATGGACGATATTTCATTGTTAAATTGTTTGCATTGTATTCACTGTATGTGCATTATGATAATGAGCTAGTTCGTCGAACCATAGCAATGTCAACCAGCTAGGTTCCCACGGCCTCCGCCCTACTACACCAAATCGGCACTAGTACTGTTCGTCTATAAGGGGCCCATCTAGAAGTCTGAGGCTCAAGATCTTACATCTCCTCACCAGCGTAGCGTATGCCATTGACTTGTCAGAGTAGAAGGCTCGATTCGTTGTGTTGACGTGCTTCGATGGCTTCACTGCAATCTTCAGGCGCTGAGCAAATTCATGAAGCGCACGGGCACCCACTTCATATAATGGGCTCCGAGTATCAACCGGGAGAAGTGGACTCGGGTGCCATTCCGCTATCCTCTCAAGTTGGAGGTCACGCAGGGGTTCTCAGTTCGCAAGACGGCTCTCTAATCATTAAGCCGTGCCTTCACGAGGAACTGGAGTTCTACACTACTCTGGCGGCTGCACAAGCCGCTATCATTGCAGGCGAAGAGTCTAACTCTGATGATGAGTCTAATGGCGACGGCTTCAAGACAGCGAGCCTCCCGTTTCAAGCTCTGGCACCATGGGCGCCAAAATTTTATGGGACATTGAAACTGGAAGGTGAAATTGATCGCCAAGGAACTGCAACTGAAGACGGCGTGTCAGTGATGAAACCTGTCGAAGGAGTAGGGAAAAAAGATGAGTGTTTTGGGCTGGAACCTCCCCCGTTGCTATGGTGGCTGCAACTAGTGCATCCTAGGCTTTTTACGGTCTAGATGTACTGGATGTTGTATTTCTATCCACGCTGCTCCGATAATTTTTAAAACCAGCATTGACTTACCCTCTATGGTGCTATACAGTCCCTAGTCCTGGAAAATGTCTCGCATCCGTTTTTCAAGCCCAATATCTTAGATATAAAGTTGGGCACAGTTTTGTACGAGTCGGATGCATCTCCTGAGAAGATAGAGAGGATGACGCGGACTGCAAAGGCTACGACTAGCTTTGAGACTGGCGTCCGACTCACCGGTTTCCAGGTATGGAATTCCTCGCACCCTTTCCCTCTTGATGGGATCATTCTTTTAAATCTTCGGGCGTATCCATCTACTTTCGCTTCGCTCGATATGCGCCCTATTCCATCCGAGTGTCATTTTTTGATAACGTTGCACTGGACGGTGGCCTCGGCGTGTGGCCACGCTGGTTGGACTAGTCACCGGTGTCATCTCCGTGGAAAAACCTGCACCACTCGGTCTTTTCCATGTTCCAATCCTCCCATTCTCCGGAATTCTGGGGAATACCCGTTCTATGGGATGATTGTCCAAATTGCAGTTTGGTTCAGGCACCGTCCATATCTAGAGGTTACGGTCTCCGACCTACCGTCTACTTGTTCCGACGGGTTGCCGTTTACGGAAGCTCCCGGTTGTTGCATTTGGTCACTTTCGCGTTTGTGTGCTGGTCATGAGCACGGCTAGTCGGTGCGATTCGCTCCAGGGGGATGGTCATGCGCTTATCTTATTAGGCAAATTCATTCCGTGCCGATGATTCTGCCTTTTTCGATCCATGAGCAGTTTCAGGGTCTAAAGGATTCTGGATGCATATACATTTTCGTACTTCTTGCGTCCCTTGGGCGGGAAGTTGCTGGGCTGAATCTTTACGTGTTTATTTGAATCCTCATAGACAAATGCATCCCCATGGATCATTTTGCGATAGCTCCCTGCTTTGGATATGCTTCCTTTGCGTCAGACATTTACATGCCCCCTGCTTTTTCATTTGCGCCCGGATCCAATTTCTTGGATAAGAGCCAATCCATATGGGGATTTGTCGTTATCAAGAACTTCTACCCTATGACGTTCGGTCCCAGGACCAATATGCGTCGTCCTTTCGTCTGCTGCAAATAAAGTAGTACTGACTATTTTCTACTCGGATGCAAAACAGGTTTATGATGGTACGACAGGCCAAGCGGTTGTCACCCCCAAGTCATACGGAAAATTAATCAAATCTTCCCAACTTCCTGATGGCATCGCTCGATTTTTCCCCATCCTGGAACCGATTAACTTCAATGCAGATTCATCTTCGACCGGGGGCGAGAAGAGCTCACCCCGAAGTGGCGGCGTCAGCGGCAGATTGTTATTACCCGTCCTGGAAGGCGTTCTTGAGCTTGTCCGTGAGCTGGGAGTTGCAGCGCAGAAAACGGAGATGAGAATGGTGGGTGGAAGCGTGTTGATCGTTTGGGAGGGAGACGAAGAGACTTTGGAAGCTGCGCTTGCTGCCGCTCCCATTCCTCACGTAGAGTCCGAATCTGAGTCCGAAGACGAATTAGCGGAGGGAGAAGGAGACGGGGCGAAGAAAGTTGGACCACCCTTCACTGTACGCTTGATCGACTTTGCGCATACGAAGTTTGCACCCGGCCAAGGCCCTGATGAAGGGGTTCTCAAGGGCCTTCAGACTGTCACAAAGCTCATAGAGGGAAGGATCGAAGAAGTCAGATCCAAGTTGTAGTACATTTCCAGTTAATGGTCATGATGGGTTTGCCTGATGTCAGGTAAGGTTCCTTCACGCCTGGAAAACTAGTTGGCATCACAAGCTGATGTATTTGCGCCAGTATGTTTGCATAAACCGTTGTACTTGTTTAAAAATATGTCCTGGGACCGCCTGTACAGTTCGAAATTGGCTACCTTATTTGCACCTCTCAGCTCGGGGGCGGTGTGTGAATTCCCAGCGCCTGCCACGTCTCAATTCAAATTTGGATGATGAGAAATTATCCCATTTCGAACTTGTTTTTGATGGGCTGTGTGATCAAACTTGAGACATCGATGGTGATGGAAACGTCAGAAAACAAGTGGCGCGGAATAAGATCAAGTACTACTGGTGCTGATGCACTGATAAGTAACAACGTGTATGTCGAGAAATACAGTGCGTGGAGGGGAGCTATTAAACCGTGTATGGGTTTTGGCTACAGTAGTGGTAGCACAAATCAATACATTACGAATACAAAACATGGGGCACGATGGAAGGGGAAGGATATGAAGGGGATCTGTAATCACTGTCATAACAGGAGCGAACTGACCGAAGCATCAACCGGCAATTGGCTGCATCCGCACGGTCGATTCCGCCGAGCGGGCGTTATTTCGTGCATTTGGAGAATGAGCTCCCGGAGAGCGTTGAATGTTGTAATGGGAATTGTATGGGATTGGAGTTGTACGACCAGAATGGTCTAGTAGAGGTATTTCTGGAACCACGTGTCCGCCTTGTGCGAAAAATTCGTCAACACTTGAAGTGGAATGGGAACGCCGTGTGCCGCCGATGCTGCCCGGCCCAGTATAGAAGCAGAATCTGGAATGCCATGGTAACTGATTGGTGAGGAGGACCCGATGAATTGGGATACTCACTGATCGAGGATGGAGTGAAGATTCTGGGTTTCATTGGTGTTGCGCGCAATTTCATCTTCCTTAGGAGTAAGGCTTGTTTCTGTCGGAGACGGAGGCGAAGGAGTGGAAAGCGCAGTTGAATTGGAAGCGTCTGACGATGTTGCGGGGACGGTCGAGGAGGCGGAGGATATGTCATCCGAGCTACTCTCGCGCGAAGGCCCATCACGCCGCTCAGGGCTCAAGGTTCTTAAGGCTGTGGAGCTGGATGTAGGTACGAACGGAACGGTGGATGTTGTGTTTCTATGAATATCATCCATCGCAGAATCGAAGCCAGACCAGCCCGCATCAGAGAAAGGGGGACTGATACTGGGGCTAACATCATAACTCATATTATGATTTGTGTTAGTCGCCTTAGGAATCGGGAGGAACCTCGAAACCGTTGGAGGGGGGACACTACATTAATGAGAGAATGTCAACCTAATTATCAGCACTGGAACATTGGAATCCGGAGCTTACAGAGCGTCGCCAGCATCCTTTTCAGTCGGATCTGTATGAAACCCCTTAGTCAAGGATGACGACACTGTCGTCTTACTTCCAATCTTCTTTCCGCCCCGGACAGGGAGCGCAAAGTAACCCCTCTGGGTATTGCCTTTATTTGCTGCATCACCCACCGCACCTTTCCCCTTGGAGCCCGTATTGCCATGTGCTATTTGACTCTCAAACGGCGTCGATGGTCCACTACTATGCAAACTCGCTGGAATGTCCGTATCTGAACTCGTCCGGAAAGGTGGTGAGTGGCTCAAGGCCCAGAATCCAGACTTCACAGTGCCCTGGTCGCTTTCCCCGCCAGGGGTGAGCAAGGCCGCATCGCGTGGGGATCCTCTGGAAGTTGAACGAACCCTCGAGAACGTTACAGGGGTTGAGGTGAACTTCTGATTGATGAATGATGATCCGGGTGGCATTCCATGTGGGGAAACAGGGGAACGTGACGGGGAACCGGTGGACGGGAATGGGATGCTGTTTGCCGGTGCCAGTGGAGATTTTTCGGGGGTGTGCCCCCCCGTGGCAGCATTCTTGAGGGACGACCCAAGATCGTATCGACCCGCAAGAGATCCTTCCTTGTGCGCACGACGAGGTGAAAGAGGCACATCGTTACCTGATATGTAGAACATGCGCCTAGGACTTGGAGAAGGTGGTAGAACAGGCGACTGGGTGGGCGAATGCTGTTTTCCAAGCCGAAGGAGGACGTCGTGAGCCGATCGGCTATTAACGAAAGCCGGTGGGCCAGACTGATGGAACGAACCACTCTGATTCGGCTGATCAACAGGCGCAGGAGCTGCCCGTGCGCCACTCGAGGGTGTTCCCATGCCTGTCACACCCAAAGAAGACCCATTAGAAGGCATCACCTTCTCCAGCGTCTTTTTAAGCGCAGCGACCTTCATTCGTGCACCGATGCCATCTTCGTCGTCGTCGTCATCATCATCATCGTCCATCGCAGAAACCCCCCTAAGCACCGCTGCCCCAGCCTTCTCATCCCTTCCAAACTCGCGTATTTGGCTGAACGGCTTGCGCTTAAACACAACCGTGTAATTCCGTCCGCCATTGTTATCCCACATCTCTCCATAACCTTCAGCAGAGTAGCGCACGCATAAATGGAGGGTCCTGTCCCATATCCTGCCCATGAAATCCGCCAAGCGTATGAAAAACTCGAAGCGGTCATAGGCAAAAGGGTCCGTTTTCACTACCGTGCTCTTATCCCCTGTTTCTTTATCCGCTGCAGAACCCCCCGCGAGGCACTTGTGAGTAAAAGAGGATATAGAGGAAGGCGAAGAGGACACCAGGCTGGTCCGCACAATATCCGGCACGCTCTCCAGATGTCTTGCACTAACCTCACTCGTCGTCTGCCACCGATCCATCGTAAACCGTGCAACGATCCACTTCCTATAACTCAAGTTCCTCACGAGCACCAACCCCCTTATAGCTCTCGCATCCTCCGAAAGTATCAGACTCTCCAACTTAACATGCTCATGGCCCCCACACTCGCTAAGATATGTCAACGCAGGGACGCCGGGCATATTAAGAGGAAGGATGTCCAAACTCTTCCTCACAGCTGCGTCTCGTCGTTCTTGTTCCTCCAAGTTATTTCCAGACGGCCCATTGATCGGTGTATTCCCGCTTCTGTCAGAGGCAAAATAGTCCTCCGAAGGACCCTCAGATGCCTCGGTAGGGCTACCATCGCGAGAGACAGCAAGTGGTTTCTGTTCTGCCAAGAAGAGCTTTACATGCTCAAGATGTACGTCGAAATGGACGCTCTTGCTTGAACCAATCGGCGTGGTGGGTTCGGAACGTGAGCTCGGCAGTCCAGGAGGCAGGAGGTCCAAATTGACCCTGAGCCCACCCAGCTTTCCTATGGGTATCTTGGCCTCCCTTTCGCCGTCTTTCCTCGTTTCTTCCACACTAGGGGTAGAGGAAGCGAACATAGAAGACCGCAATGGTTTCAACGACGGCTTGACGGGCTCTCCAGACTTTTTGCGAACGTATTGTGGTACATTTGGGGGGTAGACATATTCTCGCCTGTTCGAAGACGAAGACGGCGACTGCATCAATTGATGTGAGGAGTGAGAACGACTATACTTGGATAAAGGAGGGGAAGGAGCCAGAAAAGAGCCCGAGTTGGAAGGAGGGGAAGACTTCCTCATCAAAACTTCCTTCATCTCTTTCAGGCATAAAGTGTCCGCCGTTGGAAATTTGATTGCTGTTCGATGTTCTACTTGGGTGGACTCATCGTGAACCTCCTCCATCGTCGAATGAGCCGCCAAACCATCCAAGTTAATCTTCAATCCTTTCATTCTGGCACGGGCTAATGGCCCTTTTTTCGTCGCTGGTCTCTCACCAACATCAACCGTACCACCAACAGCAAGTCCTCGGACTGTTCCCAAATCACGGGCAAGAAGGCTTGGGCTTGCTCCCTCGCCAAGCGCGTTCCCACCCGTCGCATCATCATTCGTAGAAAGTGATGAGATATCATTAGGATGTGAGTCAGAACTTGAATCTGACGTGTCAGAATCCAAACCAGCACTCATGCTACCGCGTCCCGTTCCAGCATCCCTCGAGTGAGCCGATGCCGAAAGTGAAATGTCAAGGATACGGTTTCCGCTGATCTTCGTTTCCGGAAGCGGCGTCTCCCCCGGCGAGACAGGAGTAACACATTCTGTCTTGTTGCTATCAGCTTCTACGACACTTTTTGTGTCATCCCCGGACGAAGCAGAGGGAGCCATCGAAAAAGAATTGGTTGCCGATGGATCTTCAAATTGCATCTTAGGCCTCGAGCGTCGTATTGGTAGCGAGCGCTCGTTATGAGAGAAAACGGAAGAAGATGAGCCAAGAAACGTGTCCTCGTGTGTGTGTGCTGGTGTAGGGGTGGGGGTGGGGGTGAGAGTAGGAGTAAGAGTAGCGGTCATTGAAGTGGATGAAGTGGGGGCTGAAGTTGGGTGCGGCGGAAGGAATGTGGAGGTAGGTGGGAAACGGGGAGACGTTACTGAAGCGCCCGAAGGCGATGGAGGTGAAGAGTGGTCCACAGTGGAAACGGGTGGCGTTTGGAGAATGTGTGGCATACTTCAGTCTTTTTTTTCTTGGGTTTTTGTGTTGTGCGCGTCTGTGTGGCTTCTAGAAAACGATATACTGTGGGCTCCTTATCGGAAGATCTGTAGTTGTACCGGGTGCTGTACTTCGTGTTGGTGTAATTTGGACCTAGGACGGAAAGCGTGCAAGATGCGAAAGACCCCCTTGAGTTCATCAATATCGTAACCGCGCGCGGGTGGTCCGTGGGGTGCGGAGTAGCAGAACCATTGACCGAGTTGGTTCATAAGACGACGTCATTGAAAGGGTGCACACGCGAACGTGGGTCGTCCATTTGAGGCGTGGCCAGGAGATTTTTGCCAAAAAAGATTGATCATGGAGTAGAATTAGGCAGTCGATAATGAAACCATGATCAGCAAAACAAGTTCATAGCGACTCTGGGTGCGATGATGCGATGGGAAAAGGTAATGAAGAACCCTTGGAGGCGGCTGAGGAGCTGGTTTCATCCAGCGGCGGTGGCTGGACTGAGGAGACTCATGGGCAGCTTGAACTCACCGTTCTTTGCAACGAAACAAAAAGGCACGTCTTCCCGTTAATCCTCGAAAGGTCACCCTGAGTGGAAGCCTAGCCTTCACGGGCTCAACTGAGTCTGCAAACACACGAGGGGCCGAGCGGTGCACTCGCCCCGTGTGGGGATGATAGGGGATTTACAGGAAGCTGCGAGGAACAAGCCGGGATCCATGACCAAAAGGGAAATCGATCTCTTAGCGAAGATGTGGTTGAAAGGTCGAGAACCAACCTGTACGCTCGATCTGGACTAACACGCGGTGGCCAATCCTAATAGAACGTTGCTTTTGAGCAGTACCTAACCCGCCGCAGATGGCAGCACCCGAGAAGGCCGACGAAGAGGCAAAAGCTGGGGAAGAAATTGAGAAAAGAGGATAGGCGAGACCAGGACCCATTGAATTGGATATTATTTATCGCATCTTCGGAGGCAAAGCCAGTGAAATTACCACACTTATGTAATTCATCCATATCTGTCACTGAAACTTTGTCATTCGTCCCATTCGTTGCCCTACAGCTCCGTTTGATGGAACGCACACCATTCTTGCACAATAAGTTTGCACTAATGTAATCCCTTTCTTCGCACCACCGCCGTGGAAATGTCTTCCCCTCCCCCCCCGATGTGGAATTGTTGCACGCTGTGGCCTATGGCCATATGCATAATACTTATGCTTGGATGACTCGGTGCAGGACTTCTTCATTTTATGAGTTCCTGATCGTGATGAATCTCATTCCTACTCTCGTGTAGATCCCGTTTGCGGTGAATTTCTGATACATCAGTGGTATTATGGCGTTTGGTGATTCCATTTATCAAGTAATTAATGCGGCCACCGCCTCACCTAATCATCACTGGAGATTCATACCAAAAACGAGACTCTCCAGTTGAGCGAATTTCCATACGCCTTCAAACACTGTTCTCAGGGGAAATGAATCCATTGTCGGTCAATATTTGTTATCGGAATCGTCGGCCACTTGGAAGGATTAGCAACATGCAGGTGACTACTTTCGTTGACAAACCCATTCCCGCTTCAAGTGCAAATGTATTTGTTGCTTCATCTAGCTGTCGTAGGATGACATTGAAACACGACGATTGATGAGTAAAGCGCCTCGTGGATGAGTAGCTAGTGCTGATCACTTGAACGCCGAACATTCACACCTCCACATCGAATTGGTCATCATTCCACCCTCATTGCATTAATGATTAACAAAATATGACACCTTCCACTCTAAGCAGACGACGTGGCTCACAACTCATCAATTTGCAGGCAAACTTGATGGCGACTCCTAGAATGCCGTGTGCACAGACACCACCTACACACATTCTAATAATACGAACGGCCTCGTCCTCGCCCCCTCCCCCCACGGTAATCTCTATCCCTTTCCCGGTCTACATCTCTATCTCGATCCCTCTCTCTATCCCGATCCCGGTCTCTATCCCTGTCTCTATCTCCGTGCCTCCCACCGCGACCTCTCGATTGTCTCGATCCCAATCATTATACGCTCCCCGATCCCTATCCCTGTCAAACCGACTCCCACCTCCTCTGTCATCCCTATCCCTATCTCTATCCCTACTGTCTCTATATGACGGCCCATCTTGATTATGTCCCCCCGGGATGGGAGGCAAAAAAGGTGGTCTGTTATTGTGTGAACCTCCGCCTGCACTCATAGCTCCATTCATGCCTGCCATAGCAGCAGCAGCGGATGCAGCCCCACCTCCAAATCCAGGGATAAAGTCATCCTGCGCTCCATTCATCCCACCCACGGGTGCACCAAACCCGCCAGCACCGCCCCACATCCCTCCTCCCATCTCATAATCCATGTGATCACTTCCATGTTGTGCGCCTCCATAAGAAGCAGCGAAACCAGGAACATACTCATCTTCCTCATCATCCCCGCCACCTTTCTCCCCTCCCACACCGTTCCCAACACCGCCGGCTCCTGCACCCGATCGTTCACCTGGTCTATCACGGCACCAAAACCTAACCATGTAATCACTCGACCCGGTACAAAGGATGTGGCCTAGTGGATGCCACGCCAACGACCAAATGTTACTTTCATGCGCTTGTTCGATCATAGCGACATGTTCGGGAGAGTGAAGAAGCCAATAAATAAGTTGACCATCAGCTCCGCCTGAACAGAGAAGCTCGTGGTGAACAGGGTGCCATGCTATGGCTGTTTCGTTCGATACAAGAAAGGGGGGTGGGGAATCAGAGTTGGCCAAAAAGACAGGTTGAAAAAACAAAAGAACGTACAACACACTTCTTTCTTGTGCCCCTTATAGACCCCAAACTCCTTCATTGCTCGAACGTCAAACACTCGTACAGTTTGATCCCGGGAGGCTGTAGCGATCATATCTCCATTTGGACTCCATTCAAGAGATTGGACAGTATTTTTATGGTAATGCCTAAGGTAGAAAATTAACAGGATCGATATTAAGGCTGGAACCTGTTGGAGTCAGGAGTTAGCATTTGCACTCACAAGGTAGATAAGCATTGGGCCGTCCGCGGGTCCCAGAATTTGACAAGATTATCCTTGCTACCAGAAGCTAGGAGGCCTTTCGTCGGATGCCACTGGACACATCTGACATCCCAGCCATGACCTAAATAAGCGAACGGTCAGGGGAGTCAAGTCCATGCATTCATGACCGAATTGTATATAGGGTTGGGAGTGATATAAACAAAACATACCCGTCAATGCTCTCTCCTCGCTCATCACTTCAAATTGCCAGAGCTTGATCGACTTGTCATCACTACACGTTGCAAACCTCGTATCATCCGGACTCCAACTCAGCCCGCTGATAGCTTCCCGATGACCATTCCAAACCGCAACATTATTCATGTTCGGTTGGAAGTACTTGATAATTCCAGATTGATCTGCAGAGACGAGATATGAACCTGCATGGTTGAACTGGAACGTTCGGATAGGCGAGTCGTGCGCTTGGAGGATGGTCTCAAAGTTGAAAGTTAGGCCATTCCACAGTGTGAATTCACCACTGGTAGAGCCTGTTAACACCCGTCGAGCTTCAGGTGTCCACTGTCAGATAAAATCAGTAGTTTGACGATGCTATATATTCATGCGGGTGATTTTTCACTTACGGTGACGACGTTTACGGGGAAGCGTATTTTGTTCGTGGAAGTGTGGACGAATTTGGTACAGATAGATGTGGAAGAATTGTTTGAATACGCCTTCGGTGGCAATAACTGCAAGGAATTTTGGTTCGACTTAGGATGAAGAACGGCGGAACGATTGTTGCAATCTCTCACATCAATTATAAACGGTGGTGCAGGTCGAATTGCAGGGGTGTAGGTGGGGTTAGGCCGCTGTTTCCGGACCTGAACAAGTTGGTTCAACCATATATACACATAATCCATACATTGGCATTCTCTCACCATATTCCATCGTGCATATCCTCCATACAAGTCCACAGTCCGTCGCGGTCTTATCTTTTTCGGATTTTTTATGTATTCGGGTGCTTCAGGAGACGCAGCAAGCTACAATGGTGACAAGATAGCGACGGATCCCCGTTAAATGCAGTTAGACGCGAATCTTGAAATACATCGACTAATGACGAACATTTGCTATCATCTCCTTCTCATTTAGCCTGTCGATGTCCACCTGTGCGGGTCGTGCAGGTTCCAAATGGGTCTTAGGCTCCCATCTGGATTTCAACTTTGGTCCAACTTTTGGAATTAAATCGGGGAGTGTGCCTGGGTTCGAGTTTGAGACGGTGGATAATGAAGCTTCGGATGGCATTGTTCCAAAGCCACTCGAAAGCCACTAGTGTAAGGATAGTAAAAAATGGGACTGCTTTAGTACAGGTGGAGTCCAGAGTCACGAGATTGAGTAAAGGCTTAAGTTTGCAGTCGCTTCCGACTGTCACACTTGACTGGCGCGTCGTAGGCTTGATAAATCCACAAGCGCCGAGTTTCTCAAACACGAATCACATGACCAGTCAGATGAATCAAATATGATAGGACGCGAGTAAAAAAAAAACAGAGAAGAAACAATATCCATCATCAGACACTGTGGGGATTGTGATACATACAAATACTTATTGAGGTGCAAGCCTTCAACAGCAATTCCCGCTCTTCTCCTTCGTTGCATTGTCAACGGTGACAGGTACAGTGATGGTGCCTCCTTCAGGTTTGGTCGGGTTGTCCGCTTCTAGTGCCCTGTTGGATACGATTCTGTATATATCTAGTGAAGGTAAAATATGGATGGCTAGAGAGGGCGATTGATGGTGGAAGTGGATAGGACTTACCGGTAAGAATGTTCTGAAATGCTGCTTCGACATTTGATGCGTCCAGCGCTGAAGTCTCGATGAAGGACAACCCATTGTCCGCTTGGAAAAGAGATATTTTGAATCATCACGCTATGACACGACAAGCAAAATTACTCACATGAAAACACCTTGGCTTCTTCGGTAGGAACGGCCCGCAGATGCTTTAAATCACTCTTGTTACCAACGAGCATAATGACAATGTTCGAGTCTGCATGGTCACGAAGCTCCTTAAGCCACCGTGTTACGTTGACGTACGTGGCGTGTTTGGCAATGTCGTAAACCAGGAGCGCGCCAACGGCTCCGCGGTAATAGCTGAGGTGCCCAACAAAGAAAACAAGTGTGCAAGTAAGATCCGAGCCTTCTCAACGACAAACAGGGGGGGGCCACCACGAGCAACTTACGCCGCAGTGATAGCGCGATACCGCTCCTGACCCGCAGTGTCCCATATTTGCGCTTTGACGGTTTTCCCGTCGACATTGATGGAGCGAGTAGCAAATTCTACACCAATAGTCGATTTCGTATCAAGGTTAAACTCATTCCTGGTGAATCGCGAGAGCACTGAGATCCGAGGACCAGAAGTGACGCCGAGGAATCAAATTAAGAATGCTGAGACTGTGACTATGGACTCACGATTGCTACATCATCGCAAACGGTGCGTCAAAGATGACCAAAGAATCAACAAAGCCGCTCCAGAAGCTGAACGCTTACGATTTCCCTACTCCCGAGTCTCCAATCAAAACAACCTACACGAAAGGGGAAAGCCACAACTATCAGAAAGAACCACCAAGCACTCATGGCTGAGGACATACTTTGAACAAGTAGTCGTAATTGCTTTCAGTCATGTCGACTTAGCTTAACCGTGTTGAACTTGATGAGCGTTCGGAGCTTTTGCTTCCGGTATGGAAAATTTAAATGGGGGCTTCGTGCGTTAACTGCGCGTCGAAAAGGTGTAAAGGAAAGTCAGGTAGGTCTCCTGGACGCTACCGAAGTGCTGGAGTGTTTCGGCTGGTGAAGATGAAGAATGTGTAGCCCACCATTTAAAGAAATTTATTGCTATGCTCATGATGGAAACTGCTGATATGATGGGATCAACAAGGTATTGGATACTGATACTGCTACTATCAGTCCTTTTAGCCCAGCCTCCCATGACCCATGATAGAGTGGCAATGATTTTTTGGTATTCAACTCTACGGAACGAAACGGGTGCAGCACCACGAATGTCGAGGGAGCTTCTACTCCGTTTTGGTACTTTTGCCTTTCCCCTTCGCTCGTCGATCTACTTCTCCACCCAGATAGACCACTGCAAAGACAACGAACCCAATACTAGTGCTTAGAGCGCCCGCGTAGTATGGCCACGCCGCAGACAAAAAGCGGTCATATTCGTCGTGACGTTTCGGAACAACTGAGACTTTGCTTGAATAGAAAAGTGGTGAGAGGCTAAAAGGGATCAAGAAAGCACTTAGGTCAGTTTCGGTAAATGATGGGATGTAGGCAAGCCGCTATCTCGTCCATGGGCGCGAGACGAATGCTCAAGGGGTTCTCGGGCTCCACCGGTCAAATGATTGGACTCACCCTTTTCGTCTATAATCTACAACGAATTTGAAAACTCCATGACGGTCCGGGATTCGGAAGCCTATACTAAACTCTCCTGGTTTATTCAACACTGGAAATAGAACGGTCCGGACATATGGGTCTAGCATCGTAAACTCGAGTGGTATGTCGTCCATTCGTGGCGCATCTACCCATTCACCTTTCTCGGGATCCCACGCGGAAATATGCATTGTGAAGAGGACTTGGTCGTTTATGGTGTAGCGATCCCTTTGGGTCTTATTGGCATCCCATTGAAGGTGATGGCTCGCTGAATCTACACGGAGCTGCAAAGTCTCCTGGAAAGCCCAAGAAGTCACATCTTTTGCAAATTGTTCATTTCCTGTTGTGAGATTGCTGAATAGAGCATTGGGTGAGCGGTCCGATGTGCGTAATAAGCGCTCATGGCTCACTTCACTTCGGTTTTCACAAACTTATCGGAAAAGACTTCGATCCCCCCCGAAAATACCACGCGACCACCAGATCGCGTTTGGAAGCCGGTTACTAGTCCTAATGAGTTTCCGGCCCAAAGTCCTTCGCCGCCTTTTTCCGCGGCATCGTACACAGCATCGCCACCTTTATCACTTTCAGTGTCAGTCGCGAAGCTTTCCGGAGGCGCACGAAGAATCTCGACCAAGAGCGGGTTGTCGCTGAGGTAATGCGGCACTCCCGAGAATAAAATTGGAGCATCCGTCTTCGTAAGCACGGGAAACATTGGTGTAAGATAATCTGGACGTTCTGGAATGGTGACCGGCACAATCGTTCTTGGTCCATCGCGCGGGGGGAAATGCGAGATAAGAGGTATGTTAGGTGGAGGAAGCGACAAAGAAAACTCTGCTGCTAGAGACGATAGCTGCGTTGAAGTCGGTGAGAGGGCGATGAGGAAATTAACGGGTGGGCGGGCGGAAAGAAGGGAAACTATGGCTTGGGACGTCAAATCCGCAGACAGTGCTGTTATATGACAGGTTCAGGAGTGGCATGGCTGGCATTCTGAAAGAACATAATGGCATCGTTGACTCACTTTTAGTAGTCGGCGCGAATAGGATAACATGAGAGAAGGAAGGGGCTTTGTGTTGTGTGACAGTCGGCCGATTGTCCTTGGGTCCCTTGAACGTCAAGTTGAAACCACGCTCTGGGCGTAGCAACGAACAATCCAATATCAGCCGTTCACAAAATGTCCATGAAATGGTCAAACGCGATGTACCTTCCAGGCCAGCAAAGAATAGCGAATAATCATCTTTCTTGAGTTGGGGTTCAAGAACAACTAGCACATTTGAACCGGTGCTCGAAATAGCAGACGCATGCAGGGAGAACAAGCATAAACACAAGAGTCCCAGCGCTTGTTGTAGCATTCTGGAGTTCCAGCTACGTTTACCGCGGCTGAGATGGAGGAGATGGCAATATGGCTGAAGCCGATTGAATTGTGCCACGTCGAATGGCGCCCGGCGGCTGGTTCGCGGAGTTTTGCGTGAAATTAAGTGTAGAAGTGCACGCCGAACGGAATCGCAGGATCTATGCTCTGATGAACCGCGCTTCCCCTCCTAGCTATCTCCTGAAAGATGCGTCAGGAGGGCGCCAAACAGCAGCGATGCGCGCTACTGGGGTGTGGATGTGGCGCTGGGCACTCATTCCGGCATCTCTAAAGTGAAGTTCCCCTAACTGATTATGCGAGTGTCGATTCATGATTGCTCGACAATTGTTGCCTGGGACGCTTGGTTGAATGGACTCCCATTGCACATCCATTTTTTGGATACTGACGCTAGGTGGTATTTGCCAACTTTGTAAATGCTACTTCAATCCCTGGTAATAGGGTGTGTAGATTATCGTCGTTCCTGGCGGATAAACAAATGCGATGTAGTACCTCATGGTCCCTCGCGCGGTGACTGACGTGGTTCTCAGCGCAACTCTCTTACCAGACCGCGCGTAGACCATCTCCATCCGGGGACTGAGTCAAAAGGGCTGTTCCTTTTGGCGGCGGCGATCCTGTATGCCGCGCACATGGCATCCCGGTTTCCGAGCCGTCGTGAGGTGCCCTGGGCTATTTTATTGCCGAAAGAACATCTCCTCTTCAACCTCAAATGGGGAGAATTCTAGTGGAAATCTTTTTGGGCGCGGTCTGATCCATGTTGGACACTGGCCCTACCTCCTGTTCAACATTCAGGGTGGCTGCCCACTACCCCTATGTTTGACGCGGTGTCTGAACAAGAGAGGCTTTCCTAGGGCCCACATCCTTGTCCTTGCATTATTACGCCTTTGGCACTGATGCAGGTGGGCCACATCGGTTTGATGTTAGCTTGTTCTCATTCAACAAATGTACCCCATACTGAAATTCTGGGATTCAGAATTTACATGATTGATTGTGAGTACATAATGACTCGCTCGTACAGTGAGTCAAGTCCTGATGGTGAATAGTGCACTGGGAATATCTCCGCAAATAACCCGGCTTGCGCCTGTTCATTAGATGGGAACAGCAATCACACATGCCTAGCTCTTCGGATCCTCCTTCCGTATTTAACACATCTCCACAATAATAGGAAGCGTTCGCAAGCTTGTTTGGGTTACGAAATCCCTCCCAGTCCCGGATCAACATTTTACGCTGCAAATTCCCATGACTCCACGCACACACGCACGCCTACGTCTTGCGAACTGTTCGAGCGGCGCGGGGGTTGGAGTAAGTGTGCCGCCTTGACCAATGCATTGAAACAGAAGGCATTAGCCAATCATCGGCCGCCGTTGAACCAGCAAAGGAGCTGGAGTACAACTACCGTACCTCAACATATGGGCGCCATCTTCTTGACGCCCTAAGCTTACGAGCAGTCCGAAGTGTTTGTAGGCTAAATACCTGGAACCAATGTATTATTATGATGGTTGGTTGGGACGGGGTGGATGGGTATAGAGAGCCTGCACAACTACTAGATATGTGGTGGGATTAGTAAATGATCGGTCGCAAATGTGTACATGAGTCATGAGAGATTACTTCACCTTGGCAGTCGTAGTCAGCTTGGGTTTACGAAATACGGGTGCATAGCTAATGAAACGGAGGTTTCGATCATCCATCAGTGCCTTGGAGAGAACAGTGATCGCGACGGTGCTGTGTCAATTGCTGTGCGACAGTGTCAAGGACGAGGCAGGGGAAGATCTTGATGCACTGGGTGTCGCCCATGAGGCAAGGTGCACAGAGTGAGGGTCTGCATGTGCGTGCGAGGGACACATTACACATCGGCACACTAGTGGAAATAAGCGCCCAAGAACCCATGAACTCAATCCAGGGATTAGCAAATTCGAAAATCTCAATCAAGGCCCTCTTTTATCCTTCGTTATCCAAATCCCCATCTTTTTTCATTACGCTCGCAACAATTAATTGTTTTTGTTTTTATTTTTTATTTTTTAATTATTTTGAAAAGATAGTTATGCAAAAAAATGCCGCGACTTGATTCATATGTACTAGTTCGTCCACCCCTCCCTTAAGAGCAGGTCTCCATTTTGGTCTTCGTTAGCTACCCATTTCTCTCGCTGGGATCAGCTTGCTTCCGTCTAAGAGTTGGGTGTATTGGCGCACAAATCTCTTATACATACTTGCTCAGGCTCTTCCTCCCAATCTCAGCTTCCCCTCTCCCTCCGCTTAGTTGCACTCTCAATCGAACGTTGACGATGCCGCCTGCTAGGACATCGCATCACTCATCAACTGATGAACACTCCAGGGTCAACGCGACGACGAGGACAAAGACTAAAGAGTCCAGTGCCCCATTGCAGCGCGGAAGTGCATGGTAATTTAGCCCCAATTTCCCGCACGCGTATATCATGCGCTCACCTGGACCCCTCATAGTCTTACTTGTCGGAAACGCAAACTCAAGTGTGATGCTAGCAAGCCTGCTTGTAATCAATGCATCCGGGCCACGCACCCACAGGAGTGTTCTTACGATAACGGCAAGGCTCTGAGTAGGACACAGACGCTCCAGCGGCGGATTACTCAACTTGAGGAAATGCTTGCCCAATTGCAGGGCAAGAACATGATAGGCTCACCTTCATCGAGTGCATCCTCCAACCTTGGCGGTATTCTCGGGGCCGACCCGGGTTTGGGCGCTTCGTCAACTCCTGGGCGCGAACGCATCCGCGCTCGATCCATATCCTCAACCGATTCTGGAATGACTCCAAATCATACCGACAGTCTTGTCTTACAATCTTCCCCCCATTCGTCTCGCGACTCTTACAATAATCATCTGTTCAGCGATCCCCCTGTTGACTTCCCACAACTGCAAGGTTTCGTGTTTGGCTCTGATCCCCTCTCTATTCCTAGTTTTGGCACAAGGACTGTGTCTCCCGATCCAATACCATTGAATAACGCTGTTTCCACTCGACCCCCGTCAGCAGCCTCCTCATCCTTCCCTCTTCAATACAACTCTGCCTCCACCTCCACCTCACTTGGGGTGTTTGACATCAACCCATCAGCATGGTCCTCCTCGAGTGCATCTGTTGGCTATTCAAGTCAAACACCGCCGTATGCGTCTCCAAATCTTTCGACTGGGTATGGGCTAGACGACTCACTTGGTGGGTTACGACCTATTCCCATGGCCTTGTCGAATGATAGAGGAGGCTGGGCGCAAGATTCCTCCGTACCCTCTGCAGTGAATGGATTTGGGGATCTGCGTGTAAGAGCGAGTGCTGGATTCGATACGGATCAGCCCATCATCACATCCACACCTGAAGGGCAGAATTACCTGTAAGTCGTTTAAAATGAACATCGATGAATTTCTATTGGAATTGTCCTGACATCTCATCATTCCCCTATTTCAAATGCGCTGATGGTTACGGCCCTGGCCAATTCATTCTTTCGCCCCTGCAGATTAACACTATTCCTTAACTACCGCCGTCGTTGTTACTTCGATGTCCATCCCCAACGTTTCCTAGCTTCTCTGCAAGACCCAGACCCCCAAAAGCGGCCTCACCCCTGCTTAATGGATGCTATCTACCTGCTTGGCTGCTATCTCTCTAGAGATGATGAGTTGAAAGCTCATGAAGTTGTACTGTTATCTCGAGCTAGACAGGGATTGGTGAGTGTCCTATCATTGTGGCCAGTTTAGTTTGCACACGCAGTACCATATCGCCAAATTCGGCGCGCTAGATCTTGGAATGAAGCCAAGTGCAACGAACGCTTTCACTTGCCTAATCAGAGCTGCTCGCCGTCTGTGCCCTCAATACTCACATCATTCCCCCTTTTGTTCACAGTGTGATTCTCTCGAGCACTCGGACCGTTTGTGGAATTTTGTTCAAGCCTCGTGCCTTATCGCATTCTTCCTATACCAGAACGGGCGATTCATAGAAGCATATCACCAAACTTGTCAAGTGGCTCGCTTTGCTGTCAGCTGTGGACTTCATCAGATTTCATCTCCACACCTCAATCCATCAGGAGATCTCGTGAGTGCGCCTGGTGCTGGTTCTGGACCTAGCAAAAATGCACACGCCGCCCCTTGGACTGTCACCAATATGTCGGTACGGCGGGCTGGGTCCATGTTGGACCCTCCAAAAGATCAAATCGAGGTTGGAGAAAGAATCCTAACGTGTGAGTCGATTATCCATGATCCCCTTCGAGATCCAATTTGCTCCGATGGTTCGCGCAACATTGATTTTGCCAGTGGAGCCTTAACATTTCTGTTCGGGCTCCTATTTATAATCAGTCTCTGAATGGGGTTCATGAAGTTGCTTTAATCATCCTTACTGACAAATGTTTGCTCTCTTTTTCCTTCTATTGGCATTGGTCCTGCAGTTTGGCACATCTTCCTGCTGGATCGCTGCGGTTCTATCATGACGAACCTACCAGCAGCATTGCCAGATGAGTGCGATTCGTTCTCGCAGATTGAGACCGTGTGGCCCCGGACGTTGGAGGAGTATGAACATGTATGTTTGGATTTCTTTTTGTCACGCCCACATCTTTCTTTCTGGACAACCTCACTTATTACTATTTGCTAATAGGGTCAAGCCTACGACGCCGACTGCGGGACGGTGAGGCAACTTTATCAGCCAGATACGGCACCAGCCGTTGGGCGTCCAGACACCATCTTTACGCTTCGCCTTAAAGGCTCTGCCCTATTCGAGCAAGCCAGCCGTCTTGGATCGCGCTACGGTAAGACCATATCCTCCACCTTGATTTTGGTTTTCTGACCTTCCCTGTTTATGTACACACAGCCTCCAGCATGCCAGAAACACTACGGGCCAAATTTTACGCGGTGGACTATGCAATTGGTCGATTCCTGCGGACATTGCCATACGTAAGGAATTCTGGTACCATGGGAGAGGTGCCACCTACCTCAGCCGATGATCCGGTTAACGCGCAATTGGTGTTCGTTCACACGCTTGCGTTGACGGCGATGATTCGATTACATAATACCGCGGCACTTGAAGAGCCTCTCAGCTACGATAAACGTTTGAAGGCTGCTGAGGCCGTTGTCTCAGTTGTGAGCGAGTTGGCCAACTCTGAGGCGGACTTTGGGGAGTTTGACATGCTGATAGGGGTACGATCCACGTTCATACTTCGTAAGATGAAATGATCGAAGCTCATTCTTCATTTAGCATTGCTGGAAACATACCTGCGATGTCCTAATTGAGCAGCGGTCTCGGGTCCTGACTACATCAGAGGCTTCGGCATTGGACCACAAGATTGATATCATTATCTCACAGATGCGCCTTCTCGAGACCGTTTTTCCACTGACAGGTGGGTGCGTTTTCACGAGCTGAGCGTAAGAAATGTGATGCTAATGACGGATCTAATACGCAGCTTTCCAGATTAATGACATCCTACAGGCTCGGCAACAGAGTATACTGTCCACTGCTCCAACTGTACCTGTGGCCGCGCACGTCGCCACAGTGCCGACCCTTTAGCTGTTGGATCTGCGTTACGTATTGTCTCTTACTCGTTTGCTTACTACTAGCTCGAGAAAGGTCAATGCCCCCACTTTCCCACTTCAGCATTCCTATCGCAACCCGCATCTTGCCGTGCCTCTCATGCTGGCGTTCACATACTAACATCCCTGCGCTGTCCCCACATTGTCATACCTCCCTGAATCCTTCCGCTGTTTATACCACCTGCAGTTCCAAAAACAACTACCGTGGGTATGCCGTGTTACAGATATATCCAGTTTAGTGTATTTGTGTGCCATTAGCTAATTCTTCATGGGTGACTGCTTGCTTTGGATACATTTCGGATCTTTTCGCGGGCGCCGGGAGTTGTTTGCTTCGTGTCATTTTATTTGACATAGTTGGCTCGGACGACTCCCAGCGCTTCCACACTTGTTTTGTCCAATTCCCTTAATCGTCAGTGCTTTCCCGCGTTGTTGTAGTGGACCGTGCATGATGAAAAGAAATTATTACTTTCATTCCGGTGGATTTTTTGGAACTTTACACTTCGTGGAAGCCCTTTCGGAGATAAAGAAAATGTAAGGTGACTGTCGGCAACATTTGCCCAAAAGTTGGACGGAAACTTTCCCACGTTCGGGTGTTGGCACGCTCTTGATCCAGAGCCGTTGAAAACCTTCCCTGTTGCATTTAGCTTCACTTCCCAACTCTTGGCCCAGACACACTCTCTCGGGAGGCGCGCTTTGCAGCTATGTCAGACGAGATTAGTTATCTCAAAGGCCTTGTTGCTCAACTCAATGCAAAGATTGAGAAACTTGAGGCTCAGTCCAAAGCAAAGGACGCGGCTACCAAGAAGCCGTTTGATGCGGCAAAGGAACTTCGAATGATTCTCATTGGTCCGCCGGGCGCTGGTATGTGTGCATTACGTTGTTGGATGACGCTCAGCGTAGTTCCGGATTTGTGGGGTTGTCACGCATGACGCGTTGGATTGTTCACAGGCAAGGGAACACAGGCCCCCGCTATCAAGGAAAGATATAATGTATGCCATCTTGCTACGGGTGATATGTTACGGCAACAGGTCGCGGAGAAGACCCCGCTTGGTATCGAGGCTAAGAAAATCATAGATGCTGGGGGGTTGGTCGGCGATGATATTATGGTTGGGATGATCAAAGATCAGCTGGAGAACAACAAGGAGTGTCAGCTTGGGTGCGCTTTACGTATCATCTCGCCGGTGAATTGTCCAAGTAATAGCGTTGATTAGGTTCATCCTTGATGGCTTCCCTCGGACGATTCCACAGGCGGAAAAGCTTGACTCCGTGCTTTCTTCTCGCAAAGAAAAGCTGGACCACGCCCTCGAACTCAAGGTCGCCGACCAACTGCTTATTTCTCGTATTACGGGACGCTTGATCCACCCGGCCAGTGGACGAACGTATCATAAAGAGTTCAAGTATGTAACTGTCTTTTCGCATTTCAGATGCCACATCTCATTGTCCCGCATCGATTTGCTCGATAGCCCGCCCAAAAAGCCGATGACTGACGATGTCACTGGTGAACCACTGATTCAGCGCTCGGATGACAACGTCGACACCTTGCGGAAGCGTCTTGGGGCATTCCACAACCAAACCGGCCCAGTCGTGGATTACTACAAGAAGCAAAACATTTGGACTGGTATTGATGCCGCTCAGAGTCCTAAGGTCGTTTGGTCTAATATCCTCAAGGCCCTCGAGTCCAATCTGAAACCAGGGTCATAGAGTGTAATCACTTGTGGGGATGGCGTGATATATTACAATGAGATGGAGCTGTAATTGCGTAATGCATATATCTGCTAGACGTTTGGATGACTGGTCAAGCTCAAACCGTTGACTGGAAGTAAGGGCGACACAGCTTGCAACCTTATTTACTCAGGGCTGCACTGCCACTATCTGCATTTTGAATTGATAACTCAGCGGGGTAACATGCCCAGGGGAGTCGCACGTTGCTCTTTTGTCTTTCGTTTCCCTCGTAGGGCTGAAGGGGAAAGCAGAAGCACTGGAAGTCTGGTAGCTCGCACTTCATCTTGACAGTGAGGTCTGTTTCAACGAAGATCAGGGGATCGTTCAACACACGCGCAGAATAAAGAGGATCCCGTCTTCAGATCGCAGAATGGCGACGCATGAACGGCTGGCATCAATAAAGCATTGGATCTCCTCTCGACGATGTGTTAGTGTTCTCAAAGGTGACTTCCCAGTGTAGTGATTTGGGGACGAAATGCCTCTGCTGACCGACCTCTCAGGCGCTCTTACGTACACTCTTGCACTTATGCTGCCCTTCCTGGCAGGCTTTGATAGGTTCGAGGTTTACCCAGCTTCATACTCGGGTACGTCTAAATCCTGCTCGCCGAACACAAAAATAATATCTATGCGTATGCATAGCAATGATCATCGTCACAATTGCTTGTTTCCCTGGACGCTCCACGGGTGAAGCTTTGGAATCCACATTTTTCGCTTTGTTAGGAGTCACCATTGGCGCAGGAAATTTCGCGATTCTGGCTAAACTTAGATCTTCACTACCCGCTCAGGCAGTAGTGTTTGTCATCATGGTCTACTTTTTGGCCCTTCTCAAGGCATATAACATCAAGTGAGTAGCAATTCCCTTCCCGTAGCGGAGTCTCATTAATTTCTGGAAACAGGTACTTTGGGATGTCCCTACTGGCGATCCTGATGACTTTCAATGGTGTATATACGTCTATCCTGACTGGGGCATTTATTCCCACCTATCTTGAAAGCTACATCAAATCATACTTGTAGGTGGCTCGTGATTTTCCCTCAACTAAGATGCTAATATTCTTCCTACGTGGTTAGCTGGGGTGGTGCCTTAGTTGTTGGAGTGAATATCTTTGTCTTCCCGGAGTCATCTGAGAAACAGCTCCGACAAACACTTGTTACTTCTTTGGATCACATTTCAATATTCCTGCATTTGCTTGCAAAGACCTACACGGTGACGATAACTGACGAAGAAAGGAAAGTCCGCGATGGTTTGAATCAAAGTATACGTGTAGGTGATTCACCATCTCCGATGCGAACCGTTCTGTCTGAGTGGGAGTATCCATTAGGCAGACTTTGGTCTATTGAACGCTAAGGCCGAGGCAACCACAATTGAAATTAACTGGTCTAGGTGGTCTACAGAGGATTACAGGGATATAATTACCCAAACCCGAAAAATGCAATTGGGTCTTATTGCGATGTATTCGAGCTTAATCAAATTGGACAACGCAAGAGGCGTTCCAGGTTCAAAAGGAGATGGCCCATTGTTCAGGAAGCATTTTCTGCCAAGCACAATTGCCTCATTCCATCGTGTATGTGTTCATATTCTTGGGGTGCTGGTTTTGAACTCATTTCATCGTTTCTTAGCTACGGCGGGACACGCAAAGAACCATCTTTGAAATTCAAAAGGAGTTGAGTGGGGGTTGTTCCAGGATTTGGGAACCTGGCCGCTCTGGCTATGAAGTGTTTTTTGATCTTGAAAAACAGGAACTAGGCGGCGGCGAGGAGGGGACGAGTGACCAAACTGAGGAGCCCGTGATCGGGCTGGACGGCGACCGTCAGTTAGGACCCGATACCAAAGAAAGCCCAGTTCCGCAGGTTTCGGCGGCAGCAGCATCGCGGCCACAACCTACTCGTTTCGTGTCCTCTCTTTCCATCGCCGAGCGTCTCCGTGTTGTCTCCGATCGGTTGGCGCAAGAAGTAGAGCTGAAGTCGCCCGCAACTGTGTCAGGTTCCACCGATCTCAGCAGTGATACCACGCCATACCCAGACGATATTGATGATGGAAATGATAAAAAAAAGAATGGGAAAACTGCACCGAAAGTCAGAGGATCTGCCCGGCTGCTCAAACTTCATTTTCACGTACGTCAATGGTCGTGTAATTGATGCTAGAAGTAACCAATTATGCCTTACTATATAGGATTTCGAGAAGAAACAGTTGGATTTACTCACAGAAGCTGTATGCTCGGGTGAGCTCTACGGGAACGACCCAACGCTCCGTGTAAGGGAACCCCGTCCCAGTGTGTGGGATACCTGGGGACCAGATCATATTCGTGGCCACGTTGATGGGGAAGACATTGTTGATCCCGCAACAGATGGAACACATGGGATGTCTAGTGGGAAAGCATCGAATACATCATCGTTAAGGAAAAGGAAGGTCGAAAGACCGGGTCCAGATAATTCTGGTCGCTCCGGCGAATTCGATGTGACCGCTCGAATGGAAGACCCTGATTCGGACGATGACAATGGAGAACCCGAACCGGAGGACCCCGTAGCAAGAACCAGCAATGAATCCTTAATGCGTGTATTTGCAATGATCTTCGCTCTGGAGTGAGTGTATTCCGTGTTCCTACCACATGGTGTTCGGACTAACAATTTCCCTACAGCTCATTCACGAGCAATCTTGCATTGTGTCATGCCATTGTTACTCGGAAGGATTCACATGGGCGGAGTAGAAAGCGCCTCCGTTTCCATTTCTTCGAAGGGCTCAGAAAGCCACACAGGCATCATATCCAACTCTCGGAATTTCTTGGCGAACATCCCTCTCACACCGCATCCCCACAGACCCACGATGGAGAAATGAACACCAACGCGGCAACTGCTGATCCCGCCTTAACAAGCCATGTTACCTCAATCGAAGATCCGCCATCAGGGGACGTTACCAGTGATTTGTCTATGAAAGAAGCTTTGGCGCTTCTTGAGGGTAAAGAGTATGTACCTGATAGGCCAGGATTCTGGCTGAGGCTCTCGAGGCTCGAAGCCAAGCTACACACGCCCATTAGCATATATGCAGGAAAGGTTGCAGGTGCTTGTTTGGTCTTTGCCATTCTCATTTGGGCAGATCATACGCGACATTTTTTCCTTACGTATGGTATCCAAGGATCTTTGCTCACCGTGGCTGTCGCTCTGTGAGTGAGAACGTTCCTCCTGGGTTCTCGTGTGCTTGACTCCACAGTCAGATCACCGACGCTCGGCCAGAGTGTAAGAACATTCGTCCTTCAAATAATCGGATCCAGTGTGGGATATTTGCTTGGCTTGGCGTTCTTGGAGATGTTTAAGAATGTTGGAGGATATCGCTATAACCCGTGCGTTGAACAGAAGATCAGCGGGTGCTGGGCAAAGCAAATGACTTCTCATTGCTAATGTGTATAGATACGGAGTCACTTGTATGGTTGGCTTGTTCTCACTGCCTGCCAGCTGGCTCCTGTACGAACGGCCACAATACTTCACAGGTGTGTTTATCACTCCATGCTTCTGTGTGTTTCCCTCAGCTAATCTTGCGTCTGATTCGACAGGCGTTCTTTTGGGGATGAATGCATGTGGTACGGAAATTTTACACTGGACTTCCTTTTCTCCTTCTGAACTACGCTGTCTGTGCCATAGGAGTGCTTGTCATATCCCAATGGGTGCAAGTAGTCCATCTTCATAACAAAGCATATGGAGAACCTCCCATCCGGGTTGGAAGGTCCCTCGCGGGCCTCGCAATTGCATTGGGAATCGTTCTGATTTTCCAGCTTGTGGTACTTCGAAACCCAGCAAGGCGTACTCTCAGAAAGCAATTGGCGTAGTGAGTCGCTCTCATGTTCGTTCCTCCCCGATCAGAGCTGATGTCGTGCCAATGTTCCCCAGCGTCATGTATTCTGAGTTGTCATACATGTAAGCTGGCTCTAAGTCAGCACTCCTAAGAGCACCACTGAGAATCCGGGTCTAGCACAATACTGCAAGCGTTTATGCGGGGCATGATGCCGACCGAAGCGGGCTTCCGACCCCCAACAGCTGCGGTTAAAAAGGTAATCGAGGAGCTGGTGCACCGAGAACATAAGATTCAAGGACAAATCTTAGCGGTTATGCCCTTAATTGCGTTAGTCAATGTCCACCATTTGGCACCCCTTCAGTTGGAGAGCTTCACTGTACAGATTTTCGAAGGATGAGCCGCAATGGTCGAAGCCGTTCCAGGCAGGAGAAATCATGAAGATCGTCCGTGCCAGCCAAATTATTCTTGGTGCGTACCTACACAGCCATTAGAGCGGGTTAGGCTCAAGCCCTTTGCTGCAGATCGGCTGCGCGATGCTCGCTATGCTGTAGGCCACAAAGGGTTCTCAGAAAACCTTCTGAAGTCGATTATACGAGGACTTTCACCTTACCGCAAGCGACTTTCTCGCCAGATCAAGAATCACCTTTGTCTGATATCCGCGAGCATCATGTCAAAGACGCCATTGCCACATGATACGATGATGGAGAATTGGGTCTCTCAGATGACACATGACGCGTTGGTTTTGAGTCAGAGGTTTGCGCAGACGGCTGAGGGCCGCGCGTCAATGGCTAGCGGGGAGTTCACGAGATACTGGTGTGCATTCCAATTGTTTTAGCCTTTCTCTGGTCTGTGTGATCTGACCTAGCTGGTGTCGGTATAGGTTTTATATACTTTCTATTTCTTCCATCGCGGAACAAGTTCAGGCGATTGAAGAGTGCCTCAGGAAGTTGTACGGTCAAATCGAGGATGACCACAGGCTATGGTAGGTTTTACAGTACGGCTGGAAATAGTGCGTGTACATATCGCTGTGGAACAATGTTCATCTCAAGGGTTGTTTTGTCGTTCATGTGCCCCTGCAACTCTCAACACAGATTCTGCGAATTTGAGATGATCCCTCGACTGCCGTCGACGGGAATTACGTGAGCCTGTCTCGCAATCAGAGGCTCGATGAAATTTGATATGATTATTACAGCAACCGTCAAAAAAATCTGCGCGTCAAATCTTGATGGATATATCAGGCAAAACATGTGATTTGCGATTTAGGGACAAAACCACCGTGTCCCAATGGCACCACCAAAAAAGGATATTAAGTACTCAACCGCTCCATTGTTATAATGCATGTAGTGGGCAAACACCTCAAACCCGCAGCCAAGGATCTAATCATCACGATGCCTAACTCGATGGGCGCGCACGATATTTCGGCAGTAACCCAGCTGTCTGCATGCACCATCCACGAGGATCTCTGTAATCCTGTTGGAATCCGCAAGTGACCAGAACCTGCCGGAATATTCGGGATTGTTGTGGGAAATCCCCAGATAATTCCAGGATATTCATGCTTGCATATGCGCGCTTGCGCAGTTACCTATTTTACGTATATTCACATTGTAATACATTTCTGGTATGTATAAATACGCACAGACGTGCGTTGACAAGATAGTTTCTAGCTTACCTCTGATTGATCGCGAATTGAGTATTGCCTTATCAGGAATCTCCTGACTGAGACCCGTGGCCGACGACGCTCTTAGTATTCATGCTATATCATTATTGTCCATGCCTCACATGAGTACGGAAGAGGCTCTTGCGAACCTGAAGACCCCGGCACCACGAGCGCTAAATGCCGAATGTATTGACACTGAAATTGACCCTGATTTCCGACCATTTTTGGACAAGCACGAGATCCGACTGGGGTCATGCATCCAAATCTGACGCGCAGATTTTTTTGACGGTTGCTGTAACTCCCGTCGACGTCGGTTGTGATAATCACGATACATCAATATTGGGATGGACAACGTCTATGCTAAGTAATTGAGTTCATTTGACTCTGCACTTTTACTCTACACACTTGCAGAGTTGGCAATACATATTATGTAGTACGCTGGAATTATGTCATCCTCTTTCCCCTTGTGTGGACCTGTCGCGATTTATTACTCATTTCTGCTTACACCTTTCCTTCCTCTTTCCCTTTTTGTGCTCTTCCTTCTAATTCATTATTCTCCGCTTATGCTCATGTCCATTACATAATTCGCTCTTCCCCGCACCACATACCACTCACTCCCACATTAGGCAGGACTCCATCCTCGCATTCGTTGCATGACTTGCCTGCCAACAACATTTGAAGACCCCAAATCTGCGATGCATTTAACGAATATGATTAGTTTCAGTTTCTTGGCTCAAATTGAATCCTGGTCTAACTGCACCCATTCCCACATCGGCATCCCAAAACCTGATCAGTAGAAGGGCTTCGACTTTCTCCCCCCCCTCCGACTTCCATGATGCCTTCTGGAACACACATAATCGCTCTGGCTCAATCATTCTGGGAAAGCGTCCGCTATATAATTCACACTGCTTACTATGGAGACCCATGCAACCTGTTCCTCTTATCTTCGAATTGTTCTGCTTCAGCGTTGTAAGGGAAAAGACAAGGAAGGAAAGGGAGAAAGGAAAGAGAAAGATTAAAACGAAGATGAATATTTGTTCATTTGCCTGCTTCTATGCATGTTCTTGAAATGTTTTCGCGATATTGAACATGGGAGTGCCAAACAGCAATGACTTTATATATCCCAACAGAGTGCGATGCAGAGTTGGGGGCGAAGCGCATCAAGCACTCTAGTAACGCTCGGCCAGGCAATAGTAGCTACCTCGCAACAGCTGCATGCTCAATTCAGTTGACTGTGCGGATAATCTTCGTCAAGGAGAATTTGCGGCTTTGATGATCAAAACTAGGGCAGGGGCGCGCTCTCGGCTTTACTAATCCACCTAACCTTTACTACTGCCCTGGAGGCTGTCTGACTTTTTTTCGATGAGGGTGCTTGGGGTTTCTCGAGGGTGAGCATAACGTTCTCCGCTCGAGTGGACATCGTCCAGTAGTTGTCAACACTGATTGCATGTTATAAAGCTTACGACTGACGCCGAGATTGACGGTCTGCGTGGTCATCTCTTTCATGACCTTGTCGTTATCCCTCAGTGGGTTCCAAATGTCCAGACAACAACGGCCGAACGGCGTGGAGCCTCTATGGCTAAAGCTAATGACTGGTAAACCCTTGAAGGCTGGGGGGCCCCCCACGCTGGTCACGCCCCGCATGTTTGGGGACTTGCTCTTCCCATCCCCGGGGAGGAAAGCTGGTGATCGGTGGGCGTATCTTGACATCAACCAAAAAACCTTGTCTGCTCTTCTTGGATGCTTTGAAGCGTTGAATTGCGGGCCAAATCAAGACAAAAGTGAGCAGACCCCTTGCGTAGAGTGTGGGACCAACATGCAGTAACGTTATCTAGTTGTATTGCTTCAATCTTTTCATTTCCGAGGCGTGCTCAATGGGTGGGTGGCGGGGGAAGATACATGGTGAGTGACTGTTATTTTTCTCACGTCACTTATTTTTCACTTCGGACCCCAACGTTACCAGGGCGAAGTCGACAGTATGTGATCGTATACCTGGTTTACAATGCTATGCTCTAGTTATTCATTCTGCTGGCCCAAATTCCATAGGTCTTGGCTCTAGAAGCTCTCGGTTACACGTACCTTTACACCCATGACTGGCAAGAATCGGCTGCAACTTACAGAATCTTCCCTGAACACGTCATTGCTATCCTCATGGAGGACCAGGATATGAGAGACTGTCTCAAAGAGACACGTTGCACAAAAAATAACGAGAACCCATACGGCATGCCCATATGGAAGATTTTCTCATTCTTGTTTTGGCCGATTTACAGTCACCCGCTTGGAAAACAGTGGACGCTCAATCCGGAGCCCTACGGAGAAGAAGCGCACTGGAGAGGAGGAGGGACGCCGCTTTCGTACTCTATCGAGCCATCTTGTGATAAAGTGCAATTTGTGCCCCACTCAGAGCGCGCGAGAGACAAGTATGCTTTGGTCATGACCAAGGCCATGCGAAACTTCCTCCCCGGAGAGACGAACGGATGGGAGATAGACGACTTTAACCACGCCGCCAACGAAACGGGCATCAAGTTCAAAGCTTGCGCCGACCCTGATCCTGAGAGCGACAGATTGGGACCGATCTCCCTCCCGAAATCGGTAGAAAACCTCGGGACGTTAGGGCAGACGGAATTCGTGCAGTTATTGGCGAGGGCGTCGGTGCTTGTTGGGGTTGGAAGACCAGAGACGTATGGGACTTTTTTCAGGGTGTTTGTGGACATGCGCACAATGCTCACCTTCCTTACCAGGTCCCCTACCCCGTACGAAGCCCTATGCCTAGGGATACCATTCATCAATCCTATCCTCCACTGGAATAGGGAAAAGCCGGAACTCAGGGAAGCCTGGGGAGCTCAGCACTCAATGCTGAAGCTGCTTGATCCACCATATGTATACAACGTAAAAAAGGGTGACCGCGAAGGGCTCACGAAGGCTATACAAGCCGCATTAAACGACCCGATTGACAGGTGAGTTTGCGTATCCTAACGTCGCTCTGGTTCACGATGTTTGCGAATCCCCAACGTTATCGCTGAATCCATTTCATTGCAGTTTTGTTTTAGACCGCATGAAGCTGACGTCGATAATCCGGAATGTAGAATCTGTATTGTCGAAAGATTGGCGTACAGAGGCTGAGAAGTCTGCGGCGAGCGGCGTACCTTTGGGAGTGAGTTGTATCGTTCTTCCGCTTACCCATGCATTCTACTGAAGATATATCCTCGATGCAGTCTTTCTTGTTGTGACGGCAGTAAATTGTAGTAATTCCCCGCGCTAACAGCTTTATCACCTCATCTTGGAGTCTTGGACAGATCTTGGATGTGACACTTAATGCAATGTAAACCCATCGCGCCGTCAATAACATAATATACATGGTGTCGGCTTAAGAAGTGCCGTGGGATTTTCGAAGTGCAATTGAGTATGAATTGGGATTTTCCGTTGTTCCTCGCCCTTCCTACTGCTTCAAGTACCAGCGGCCTGGGCGGCCTGTAGGGCAGTTCCTCTGGATTCATGGCCTTAACGCCCGCATACAACACGTAAGCCGTCGACTCGACCGGAGTTCGGGTTTCTGACCATCAAGCGCCGCGACCCTCTTCCTGCACTCCAGGCGCAAAATATCTTTCAAAGCTATCATATGCATCGTGATCGCTTCCGTCGTCCTGTGGATATTTTTGATCAAGGCGCCTTCAGCTCACCCCATATTCTTAAAGCCCTCCAAAGGTGATATTGCAGTACCCAAAGTACTCGATATCTCGAGAGCAGGCAATCCTACAATTTTACGAGATACATTGTTCCCAATCAGGGACAAGCATGAGCATATCCATCCTACTTACATGTACATCGAGGATAATCATGCCTCATTGGCTTCGCTCATGACATGCTTGGAACTGTCGAACTGCAAACCCAATCAGGACAAAGGTGAACCACATTCCATCCCCAGTGACTACAGGCTGATGGGGGCCCCCCAGTCGTGATCTTGCAGTGGTTTCATTTCCGAGGAGCATTGGTAGGTTGGGTTATGGGTGAGAATATTTGGTTCGTTCCTTTACGATTATGTGTGCCGTGCACTGACTTGGTCTCATAGGACGAGGTCTACTGTAGGTGTTTCAATGCGTGGAAGTTGCGCTCTGTAATCATTTAGCTCGTTAGATCTTAGCTCTGGACGATTTAGGCTACACATATCTGTACACGCGGGATTGGTCAGAGACGGCAGCGACGTATCGAATGCTCCCTACCCTCGTCGCCGCCATCTTCATGGACTCAGAAGAGATACACAAATGCCTGGATGAACCGTATTGTGTCAAAACTTCGGACAATCCGTACGGCATTCCCGTTTGGAAGATGTTCGATTTTATGTTTTGGGCCATACACAATCACCCCTTAGGCAAACAATGGACGATCAACCCAGAACCATACGGCCTTTCGGCTGCTTGGCAAGGGGGTGCTACTTATTTTGGCTTCTCCATTGAACCATCGTGCAATACTGTCCCCTTTGTGCCTCATTCCGAGCGTGCAAAAAGGCGAACGGCCTTCATCATGAGCAAGTATATGCGATTTTTTTCTCCGGGGAAGGATACCGCCTGGGAAGTCGATGATTTTGACTATGCTGCAGAGGAGACTGGGATTCGGTATATCTCTGGTGCCAAAGCCGATCCAGCTAATGACCCGCCTGGGCCGATGGCCATCCCGAAGAATCTAGAAAACCTGGGATATCTGAACCAGCAAGAGTTTTTGCAAACACTTGCCCAATCCACCATTCTGATAGGTGTCGGGATGCCCAAGACGTAAGTCATAACTTCGTATCGTGTTATCATGCCATTAACTTATCTGCCCCAATATCAATAGCTCACCAACACCTTATGAAGCTCTTTGTCTCGGCGTTCCATTCATCAACCCTATCCTTCATTGGGATCATAACAATCCCGAAGACCGTGAAGGATGGGATTCGATGCATGGGACTCTGAAACTTCTTGACCCACCGTACGTGTACAATGTCAAGCGTGGAGACAGAAAAGGATTTGCGAAAGCCATCAAATCTGCCATTGAGAATCCAATCGACCGGTAAGCAGTGTCGAACGAAAGTTGCCGTCCGCTCCGCTCGTCCTCGAGTTCTTGTTCCTGACAAAACGGATTTGCATTTGAAAGGTTCGTGCTAGATCGAATGACGCTGTTTAATGTAGAGGAGAGAATGAAGGAATTCTTTGCAAAAGATTGGAAAGCGGAAGCCAAGAACGTTATTGCGGAGAGCAAGCTCTTAAGACCACTTCCTCAAGTGCGCGTCCTCCCACCAAAGGCTGTCATAAGTTGATACTGACCTTGAGTTGCCTTGTAGAGCAACATCGTGTTATAATCAACCTTCATGATGGACTTTGTGTGCGCCCGAATCTGACTTTAGATGTGTGGGGTGGAGACGTTCCCCCCCTTTCTTTTGGGCCTTGTGATGTATTACCTCCTGTCCATTTGTTCTGCCACCGATACCCCAAGCAGAGTATTCGTTAAACAATTTCGTTCCAGGTTCTCACCTACACTCAGGCTATTCACCTACTCCTCTGATTGACTTGGACACACGTATACGTCGCCTTCGCATTATTTGTAGATGTCATTTCCTACTTATACAGTAACGCAGTGATTGAAGCTATATCGTGTGCAAAAGAAGTCTATATTCCACTGCAGAGCAAGGAAGGCGTCATTTGGGCATCACATTTGGGTGCCAGTCCAGGATGTCAGCCCATTTTCCAGGAAGAAGCCTTGAAATTTGTTCCACATCCTTATCCCCTCGTCCAGAGAGAGACTGATGCACAAGTATGGAGATAAGTGGTCGTCTAGAGACAAATCTTTCTCCATGCTTACCACTACAATGTTCTTGTCCTTAGGTAGTGTTTTGGCCACTTGGACCGCACCCCAGATCGCATGAGCGGACTCCAGGGCTACAAAAATTTGTGTTAGATCTAATGGAGGTAAATATAAAATAACGCACCCGGTATGATACCCTCACTCTGCGTCAACAAGCGGAAACCACGTAGAGCTTCCTCATCGTTCGCGACCATATACTCCGCTCGACCTGAGTCCTTAAGCCACGCATGCTCGGGCCCAACCCCAGGGTAATCCAAACCAGCGCTCACGGAATGAGTTTCGACGATCTGACCTGTAGGAGACTGCAGGAGGTAGGTTCGTACGCCATGAAGGACACCTGGAGTTCCGAGAGATAGAGTGGCGCTATGACGGTTCGTGTTGACACCTGGGATGTAAATCATGAGCTAAACATTCCTGCATTCAAGTGACCATAGGAATTTGATACCATCTCCTCCTGCCTCGACACCCACAAGTCGAACACCCTCTTCCTCGATGAAGTCATAAAAAGCTCCAATGGAATTGCTGCCGCCTCCAACACAAGCAACGATAACATCGGGAAGTTTCCCAACAGCTTCGACGAACTGAGACTTGATCTCGCGCCCGATGACCCGCTGATAGTCTCGTACGATGGTAGGGAATGGATGAGGCCCAATGGCGGAGCCAACAAGATAGTGTGTGTTTGAGAGATTGGTCACCCAATCTCTGAAGGCGTCATTGATCGCATCCTTGAGAGTTTGAGACCCTGACTTTACGGGGACAACCTAAATGAAAACAAGATCTAGGCTCATCGTATATGAGGAGACATCCTTGTAACTGACCGTGGCACCTAACATTTGCATACGGAACACGTTGAGCTCCTGCCTGCGCACGTCTTCAGCGCCCATGTAAACGACACACTCAAGACCAAACTTGGCGCATGCAGTAGCGGTCGCCACACCGTGCTGTCCAGCACCAGTCTCTGCAATGATACGCGTCTTCCCGATGCGTTTAGCCAGGATGATCTATGGAATGAATATTAAGGTTATGCCTCAATGGCTGGGAAACAAATACTCGCTTGACCGATGGCGTTATTGATCTTGTGTGAGCCAGTGTGATTCCTAAAAGGAAGTTAGTTGCAGTATGAACCGCTCAAGCTCGGCACCTCACAAGTCTTCCCGTTTAAGCCAAATTCTAGCCCCACCAGTGATCTCAGATAGCCTTTTAGCTTCATAAAGCTGGCTTGGTCGATTGATATACCCGTAGAAACTTTCGAACTCCTTCCAGAACTCTGGGTCAGCCAGCGCGGCCTTATGCGCGGCCTCCAGTTCAATCAAACAGTCAACAAGTGCTTCAGGGGCGTATTGCCCACCAAATTGGCCAAAGCGTGGGGGAGAACGGCATTACTTTCCCCGATCTTCGGTAAATTAGTTACTCCGGCGAGCCCGTTGGGGACATCGCCGTTGGCGGGGATCAACGATGACGGAGATACCTGGGAGTTAACTGTGGGTGACAGCGTCCTTGATGTTTTGGGTTGACCGTGCAAAGTGAGCTCGGAGCAGTGCTGGGTAACCACTTTGGTGATATTGGGCAGATGTGGTCCGGCCTCCCTGATGATGCCCACGAACCGGCTACCAACAACTACGGCATCGGCGCCCGCATCAACGACGGTCTCGAAGTGTTGACGGTTGTACACGCCAAACCCGACTGCAAGTGAAACTGGTGTGTATGCTCGGACACGGGAGATCAGATCGGGAAGGGACGAGTTCATTGACTTATCGGCACTCGAGCCGGTCGTTCCCATCTATTCAAGTCAGTGGAGAGCTTCCGTGCTTGTGCCAATTAACACACCTTAGAAACGATGTAAATAAACGTGTCGGCGATGGAAGCCAAAAACTCGACTCTCGCCAGTGATGTGGATGGGGCAATCAGTGGCACGTAAGATAAACTTGAAAAAAAAAATTAGAGGGAAACCTGGTCCAGCTGAGAATCGCGGCACATACCCATTTGCTAAGCATAGTTGTCTGAACTTTACTGCCTCCTCCGGAGGGAGGTCCACCATAATATAGCCATTTGCCCCTGCCTCAAGGGCATCCTGGACCGCTTTAACTTCGCCATAAGCGAGAATCGGATTATAGTAACCTGCGGCGAATGTCATCAGCTACTGCTGAAAGTCAGGGGGACTCAAAAATTTACCCATGAGAAGTACAGGTGCTTTGAGTCCTTTTTGACGTGCCTCACGAAGCATTTCTAGTGTCGTCGTGTAGTCAATGCCATTTTGGACTGCAATCTGCAAGAGGAGAAAAACCTTTGGTGTCGATGATTACTTCCAGTCTTCATAGATATACGTACGGTATTGGAATCCTGAATGACAGGCCCATCGGCAATAGGGTCCGTGAACGGCATTCCCAACTCAATGATATCTGCTCCACCTGCCTCCATAGCAAGCAGAATCGGTACGGTGGCATCTTTGGTAGGATACCCTGCGGTCACAAACGTGACGAACGCTGGTTGGCCCTAACAGCGAATCGGTGAAAACGTGGCAATGTCTCAACGGAGGGCTCTCACCTCTGCCTTTTTAAAGGCAAATACTTTTTTGATCGCATCAGTCATCTTCTAAGCACTTCCGATGCTCTAAGCAGACTATTGGTGTTTGGGAGATCGAGTGAGGAAAACTAAGATGGGCTCTTTCCCGCTTGGACCTCATATCGGATTTTGCGCGGGAAATATATCATGTGGCCTCACATGATCTTTTGAGTCATCATTGTCCGAGTTATGGGCCTCGACGAGGACCACAGCGAAAACCCGGCACGGGCCTAAACCTTCACGCGGTGCCCCTGTTTAAAACTAATTAGGCCTCTAACATCTGAAGGGAGGAGGACGTGGCCATCGTGGTAATGCCAATCAACCGCAACCCCGTAAGCCCAGAGCCGCACTGGCTGGAGAGATGCAAGAGCGCGGGTGCACGTCCCGCCGTCAAGCCAACCCTTCCTTTTTCTTCTCACCACTACCTTTTTGGGATGACGAGCGCGATAGTGGCAACGCCAATGGTGACCTCCGTAAGCCCAGACGGGACTGGCCAGAGGACTGTGGGTTCAAGTCCCACCGTCACCCCAACCCTTCCTTATTCTTCTCTTCTCCACTACCTTTTGGGATGGTGAGGTGCAATAGTGGTAGCGCCAATGGTAGCCTCCATAAGTCCATGGGCAGGCCGGAGGAGTGCAGGTTCAAGTCCTGCCATCACCCCAACACCCTTCTTCCTTCTTTCTCCACTACCTCTTAGAGTGATGAGGCATGATAGTGGTAATGCCAGGCTGCCATCACCGCAAAACTTTCATTTCTCTCCACTACCTCTTCAACCGACGGCCCCTCCACCGCATGTTTTTATTGAACACATGAGCTGGAAGCCACTTAACACCCTCAGCTGCCATCCTGAACACTGAACCACCAACCGAGACATTACCAAACCCTAGGCCTGGGGTATCAATCCAACAACACATGGAGCCTTGACCCAATTCACCTGCAAGAACTGTGCCCACACACCTCACTTTCTTTGTCACCTTTCTGGGCTTACAGCAGCAAACTGTGTGCCCTGCACCGGGGGTCGCGTGTCTCTTCTATGCACTATTTCTTCACTATGCTTTACATTTCTCCACATCATTTGTTACTATTTTCCAGTGCAGGGGATGCATGTCCTTATGTGTTATTTCTTCACTCCGCTTTACTATCCATACCACCTGATACTCGATGTCTCATCCACCCATTGACACTTAACTCCTCTCCACCTACTACTTTCCAAACATTTTTCACCCACGTCATTATAGTATGGCATATGCCGATAGGCACAGATACGTACTTTAAAATGAATACATCCATCCATCCATCCATCCATTGTCTGAGTTATATTGTTCTATTGTTAGGCTGTGGGAATTTGGGTCTTTGCAGTGTCACTTCACTGTGGCAATATTTTTTTAATATAAGGCTATGGTGCATAAGTATCTCAGACTCGTGTTAGAGATCTAAATTTGTATGTACCTATGGTGTGTAAGTATCTGTGCCAACAGTTAGACAGTTTTTGTAAAGAATAATAAAATCAATCTCACCTCAGACTCATGTTAGAGATCTGAGGGAGAGGGAGTCCAAAAAGCTCCCTTCTTATATGTGAACTATGCCAGTGGTGAGCCTGTTGCATAAAGAAGAAAAATGGGGGTGTAAAGTTCAACCCCCAAACCTCACTTCTGCTGCCAACAATCAATCCCATCCTTGCCACTCCATTGTCAGAACCGATTGTTGATATTCCCACAATAGGGTGATTCACGAAGACACAACTAGGCACAACTAAGTCATAACTAGGACTTCTCAACTTGTACATAACTAAAAAAGTCTTGGCATATATACAACAAAACAGCCAAGTTTTGAGTTGGACCTACTGTACTGGCACGACCAACAACCTCTTCCCATGGCCTCCAGGAGTTGCCAGAGCCATAAATCAATTCAATTTTGATTCAATCCAAGACCTTCGCATGACGTGTGACAGGTTGTTGGTCATGCCAGTACAGTATGCTACCCGAGCCCATTCCTGCTGCATGAGCCCCAACCTCATCCCTACTCTTCTTGAGGACTCCCTGCTCACCCCCCCACTTGCCCCTAGGCTCCCCTATGCTTGGCTGACTCCCCCACAGCCACACCAGCCTCTGTTGGAGATCAACCTCAAAACATGTATTTACATATATGTGTGCCGACAATTCTATTTAGTGGTCTACTCTCATCTGGTCCGACCCTGGCCCTATTGCGGCCTCATCCTATGGTTTTCTATAGCCTCCCCACCCTGAGTCTGCCTCCAGCACTGCACCTAGTGTGACTCTGTGTCAGGGCACAAGCCCTGGGCCTCCATTACATGTAGTCCCATTGTAGATTAGTGTCATGTGACAGGAGACGGGTTGAAACCTATTGCTTATCACCCCATAATACCCACACCTTTGTGACACTTACGGCCTGGTGACCTGAGCAAGCCCCACAGACCTCACACTCTGCAATCACCTACTCTGCCCACTTGGCCCTCACCGGTGAAGGAGAGGATGAAGGAAGGTCAGTTGGGAGGTTCAAGCGAGACCACCACCAAGCTGTTCCCTGGTTCTTTAGTTAGGATGGGGAAGTGTACTAGTGTTATTTATTGTAAATATAGTACCAATCCGAGTGTTTTGGCTAATTCTATTTTTATGGGTTAGTTTTAAAGTTCCTGGGAATTGACTTACAGATAAACCGAGCCCTGCGGAGCTGTTTCTTTATTGGAATTTATTAATTTGTCTAGGTGTAATTCTGTGTAGCGTTGTTTAATTTGGATTTAAACTTGAATTTAATCTTCTACTTGGTGAAGTTTCAAAGATTCTATTCAGTTAATGAATTTGGATTGTGTCTGGAGTGTCCCTTGAGTTTGTTTTATTTTTGTCTTATTTTATTGCTTGTTTTAACAGTAGCAAAATAACTGTTTTGTGTTTACACTTTGAAATCTGGAGTGTTAACCAGCTCTCCTCTTGAAATATCTACTTAATATTTCTCTCCTTTATTGCTGCCTTTTCCTACAGTGGCAATCTTAACTGTATATCACTTTTTCGCACTGGAGTGACAACCAGAAATGCTTGAGAAAAATAATACTCTATTTTCTTACTTCTCTAAGGGGGGCGAAAAGTCGCAGAAAGGGTCTCCCTTTTATACTCCTTGGGTCGCCTTCCTTTTTCATGCTCTACCTTCTATTTACAGGATTTATTTACAGTGTATTTTTCTCAAACTGAATAAAAAATGAAATTTTCATGCTATAGTTCTACTGTGGTCAGACTGCGCCTAGAATTCTTATTGTCCTCCCTCGCCTAAGCTATTTTAATGGTTAATTGGAACTTGACTGTGCTGTATTTGTCGCAGTTACCTATTTCAAATTCTCTATATATACCATTAAATTTGCTATGACTCGATGATTCTGAATTCAAATTTCGCATTATTATGCGTACGGCTGTGCTGAGACCTTCAGCTGATTTATTCCAATTTTATTTACTTAAAATGAGACTGAAATGATAAATGAGTGAATTATTCAGGTTTAAAACTGAAAGAAAAAGTTGCTAGTAGTCAAGCATTACTCAAATGAATGTGTTATAGCTCTCCACTTCATTAGAACATCATTCCCTAAAATTCCCGCCATGGTCCGTTGTAGTTTAGTGGTTTTCGTGAATTTCGCTCATATTCCCTGATTCCCTTTTGTATTATCACATTCTAATCCTCCATATGTATTGTTGGTTGTTATAGTAGGTTGTCCTTGAAGATATCATATTTTTATCTATTTTATTTAGGACTCTGGACCTCTTGAAGCTGTCTTCCCATGCGTTTTCAGGTTTCTAACTTCATGTCCTTGTATCTCATTCATTTCTGGATGTTTTCTCACGTTCTTGGTATCATAAATTTTTATTTATTCCCACCTTTCCAATGGTACTAAGATTGTGTCCTATTTCCTGGTATTCGTTGAGTTAGCAAAGATTCGCGTGCACATTCGGTAATCACATGCATCGTTCCCATAGTCGTTCGTATGCGGGAGCCGTTTTCGTTTAATTGTTCAGGATTCATGATATGTGTGGGTGTTTATTTCTTTCATATGGGCTTCTGTGATTTATTTCAGATTTTTCCCTCATGATCTAAAGTTGTTTTGCACTTTCCGTGCTTTGTTTTGACCAGGCTCTTCCTTATTTGGACGGAAATTGGTCTTCACGATCTGCCGAAGTGCGGATCTTGGTTCCGACGGCCGGTTCCCTGCACATCGCCACCCTCACGTGTCATTACACATGATGCGGATTTCTATATTCCCGTCATGGGTATAGCTTCACAACGGCTGGACCGTTTGGGCTGAAAATTTGCATATCTATAGTTCCCCATTTTTAATAATTTCTGTGTAAATTTCGTTGTATGTTTTAATTATGGATCCTATGAAAACATCGTCTTTTCCCTGAGCTCGGACTTTTAATGTCGCTATTCCCATTATTGGATATCTCATTAACGCATGATCCTTTTATTATGAAACTTTGGGAGGATTAAGTTTAGATCCCTTCCTTTCTAATGGGCTATCAAGCTTGTCTCGGTCGTTACTAGTTAATCTTCGCGCTTGCCTTTTAGACATTGTCCTCGTTTTGCAGGAGTTTTAGTCATATCTCCGTCGTTTATGGGTAGTTGTCAGGGACTCGTCCGGGGTCGAGGGGGTCCGGGTATAACGTCCGGGACCGAGAGCCTGGCGGGGGGCAGATCGGGCGTGCGTACTGACAGGCCCGATGTGGGACAGCGGTCCCTGGCCACTTAGACTGAAGTGGAAAGTTGTTATTATTATTAAAGGAGAAATATTGTACTACTTACCTGAAGTGGAAAGTTGAGAAGAAGGCTACTTCTTCGGTTCCCACTTCAGGTTCGTTTATATACATGCGGCTTGGATCACATGACGGGTGCCACGTCACCCTCGCACACAGCCGTAACCACCCGGGTGTCTCCGTGGGAGATCCCGAGGGTATCCGGTGCAGGCGCGCGTGCTGGGCACAGCGGGAAGTCGCCCGAGGTGCCCGGGCCGGGTACATGGTGGGCGCGCTGCAGATGGGTCAGTTGTACATTGATACAGAGAAAGTCGTCCGTGTAGAATAAAGAGAGAATAAAGGAGAAGTAAGATAAGGAGAAACTGAGGAGGGGAGGATGAGGGGGAAGAAGGGAAAGGGGGAGGAGGTAAGGAGGGGTGGACCGGCGGGGTACCGGGTCAGGTTGGGCCGGGTGGAGCCGGGTCAGGCGGGTGTGCCCTGACAGTAGTTTCCCCTGTAATTACTCTCATTGGGTCCGTTTGGGGGACATCTACATTTCCTATTATAAACACGACTTTGACTTTTGCATTAGTTCCTGAGGAATCTTTGTTCTGTGGTACTTCCATCCTTGGCTACGTGTGTGGACGTGGGAAAGTAGTTTTTGTGGAGGTTCTCTGGTTATTTTTATAGTCAAATCTTGGTTGATTGTCCTAATTCTTGGTTTAATATTTGCTATAAATTCCCCCGAGAATTCTGTCTTGTTGGTGGTAAGCTTGAAGTATTTTTGCTATTTTTCTTTCTTTCGATTTATCGTGCATAGTCATAATAATTCGTAAAAATTCGTAAAATTCGTTAAAATTCAGGTCCTTCTATTTTCTCATATCTACTTGTTGTATGAGGTTTTGTGATTTATCTGGCATATTTCCATAATGGGTTTCCATAGTGTGGCCGTTATTTCTCCTACACCGGGCCGTTACCATTCCTGTGCCCGACTCCAGCCCAACTCCGAGTCCAGTGCCGATACCATTGCCATTGTTGCTATCACAGCCCTACACCCCTTTGTTTATTTATCTGTTATTGTTTGTTTTGACCCTCGGTCATTGCCAGCTGCTGTGTGGCCAACCCTGCTCTTTGTTCCCTTTTGGTTCTGGACCCTTCGGCCTTTGGCCTGGGTCCGCTTCTATTCATTTCCTCTTCCTATATATATACTGTATGATACATTATAGTACTCTAGCTCTAATATTGACTTGATCACAACTCCCCAGGTTCTGACCCCAACAAGGCAACCCCAGTGAGTATGAAATGAGGGCCAGGAGACAGCTAGGGGGCACAGTGTGTTGATGAGTGACTTGTGATCTTGGAGCTGGACTATGAGTAAATACTCAGTCTCAGCCAATATGCATGAAGAACTGAATATATTACCTATGAGTAAATACTAGAGGTAATATACATAATATAAGTTACAATGATAAAACAATGAGGGAATGTAACTAACTTCAGTCTCAGTCAATATGCATGAAGAACTGAGGGAAAAGGAAATGAATTCAAATGAATGAATATATCTGTGGCCTGGCATGGATTAGTCTGAAATAATATAAAAGAGAAAAGGTGTTGTGACTAAGAAGTCACATGGTGAATTCTGGGCAAGTTGCTCTCCCAGAATGTTCCCATGCTAATGCAGGAATGTGGCTGTCCAGGCCAACTCCACTGGACATAGCACACAGATCTCCAACACAGT